AGAGATGATGAGAGAAGTTAGGAAAGTCCAAGCCAACATACTGCACTTGATTTTTGAATTATGAGGCCAACTCAAAGTCAACTCCAAAGAAAAGCTGGGCCAGGAAATTATCCTTTGTTCTGATGATTTATCTTTCTTAAACTTATAATTTTGAGTTGGCCAGACTAAGAATTCCAAACAAGAGAAGGAGTAGTAAACATTTGTCCAGTTGCTGTCCTGTTTCTGTAAAACCCCTGCAAATCTGCTGGTTGACCCTGTTCTAAACCTGGCCTGACTTTAACTGGCGCGCATTCTGGTCCGAACTTCTACTAGACTGAACTCAAGTACTGAGGCCAACTTTACACAATAAACCTAAAGTTAGTTAAAGCAAATGCAATGTTGAGTTTATAATGCAGTAAGATATTTAGTGCTGTTTATTCTTACATCAATGTTTCACATCATTTTTACAGTATTTAAATAGTAAGTGCTGATATGATTCTTTTCTCCAAAACCTCTTTGTCATTTAATGTTGGAACCTGAGCTACACAAATGTTTTGAAGTCACAAACTAAAAAACTATTCAAAAAAGTGTTTAGATTTAGGCAAAGGATGAGTTGAGAGGATTGAAAATCTAACAAGGTGTTGATATGTGACAGTAGTTGTTGCTATAGACACATTTTGTAAATATCTCCTACAATACAGTTGTAAATGCTCAGACTGTTTTATGGTGAGGCTCATACACTTGACAGTACAGATTTTCCTCCCTCATAAGTTTACACTGTCAGAGGGTTTCTGTTCAATTCCAGTAATTCCTCTTTATTAGGCAACGGATCCATTTAGTTTGATTAATTTTCCAGAAAGGAGAAACTGTTGCTCCAGTGAAATAAACACTGCAGGACACTACTGCATTTTTCCAAACAAAGAAAATTTGAACACTGGAACACGTTTTAGTGGCTTCAGGCGTTAGTCCCCGACAGATGTGTCCTGTGAAGTGATAAACGTTGTGACCGGTGTAACTGTGTGTTTCAGATATCGATGAATGCAGCACCATCCCTGGTGTGTGTGATGGCGGAGAGTGCACCAACACCGCCGGTAGCTACGTCTGCACCTGTCCACGAGGCTACATCTCCAGCACAGATGGTTCCAGATGTGTGGGTGAGTCTCACAGACATTACCAGCATTCCACTCTCTCATTTGTGATTTCCTCACCCCCTGGCTAGCTTAACGCCTCACATCTGGTCAGCAACGTCCCTCTCTCCCTCCCTCCCTCCCTCCATCACAGCTTCCTGTGACTGGAGTTCTGATGAGTCAAGCTGGCCTACAGACCTGTGGTCACCATATGCAGACAAACACACTTGCACGCACTGTTTGGCCTTGACAGCATTAATCTACTCTAATGTTAGTGCTGCTCTTACTCATTCACACACACATGCCCTGACACACATACCTTACTGACATGTCCCATGAAACACTACCAGGTGTTAATGTATTCCTGAGATGGTCAGCCCATCGTGGCAGTCAAACACAACCAGGTGTTAATATATTATTTCAAGATTTGGCCCAAAAGACGCACAGATCAGGGTCTTTCTGTTTCATCCCCTCAGCATCGGAGGCCCAGTCTGGTTTTCTCATGTTTTACTACACATTGTATTCACCCTGTTTAAGTTCTTTTCTCTATTTACCACAACCCCTCTGCCCTGTCATCTGCAGAAAATAACAAGGTGCTCTGTTTTTGTTTTGGAAATAAGGAAAAGAGGAAATGGGTTGAGAATGCAAAATTCCTCATTCCCAAATCCCAGACTCACATGTGCCCACACGTGCACATAGGGCTGATGTCAAGCTATAGCCTTAAGCATATTAACTTTAAAGGTACAAAGCATATGATGATTGAAAGGGAAGATGCAAAACAAAAGTTAACTAACCTTGACAAAATGCAACCAATGAAGTCTATGCCTCCAAGATATGTGGACGTTAACATTAAACATGTTTGTGATTGCTACACATGTCTTTTCAATGCCACAGGCATTAAAATGCTGCTGTTAGATAATGAGTTGACCATGGTGTCTGCTGAGAGTTGCATACTTGTTCCAATCACATGTACATAGCTCACAAAAAGGGCTGTGACCATACTTTGGCAGATGTAAATCTACATGTAGGTACTGGAGGAGGAGAAGAAAAGGGTATGATGCAATAAATAAATAAAAAGTAAAAAGAAGAAAGAAAAGATCAAAAACTGGAAATAGAAGGAAGAGGTGAACTATTCAAATTATTTTGATGTTTTTTCTCACACAAATATAAATAAATGTTCTCGCTGGCAGCTTGGTGTGAGTGTTTTACTGTGCTGTGCTGTGTTGTGTGTGTATGTGTGCGTGCATGCATGTGCGTGTGTTGTAGAACACTGAGGCTGTGTGGTTCACCCAAACCCAAAGGTTCTCCATCTGTCTGACTTTATGCGTGTCCATATTTTTCTTTTTTCTCCCACTCCACTGCCATCCCCTTTCTTCTTTTTCCCCCTGAAGTGATATATCTCTCTTTCTTTGTTTCTCACTTTCTCTTTGTTTTTCTTCTGTAGTAAAGCACGGATCACTCCAGAGCTCATTCCTACAGCTAGATCTGTAATTTACGTTAGAAAGTCTCCTTGTTTTCTCTGGAGTTCTCTATCTGACTTTGGAGGTTTTCTCTTGTTCCGTCTCCTCTGGCTATTGTTTTGTTTTGTTTTTTTCCAAACTTTTAATCTCTAAAAACGAAGCATTCCCACTCTCTCATCCTCCTTATCTATCTCACTGTTTCCTCTTGGCTCTTTTTTTCTCCTCCCAGTCTCTGACATCTGGATCCTGCACCTCACTTCCTTTAGTTTGCTCCTCTGCAGCCTGCTGAAGGGAAAGAAAGAAAAAGAGAGAGAACAAATAAAACAGGTGCCAGACACAACCCCCATATATCCTTCCCTCCGTCTCTGTCAATCTTCCAAAATGGAAGAGATTGGAAGGAGACAACGGCAGAGATAAGAAAATCCAAACAAAACCAGACCAGATCGGACCTGGTCCAAGAAGACCTTTTGATAATTCCTGAGCAGGGATTCAAACTCACATCTAAGAACAAAACTATGTTTGAAAATGAGACATGATGAACTCTGCTTGTTTCCTGGTCCACTTTGATGAAATTCTCCATATTCTTTGTGTGTTTGCGGCCAGAACATGAAGTAAATAAAGAGAGTGAACTGTTTGTACATATAGGTTCATTAAGTGTTCTTCTTTGCTTGCCCACATGTTTAAGATGTGGGATGTATTTTTCTGGTTTGGGAGCTTCACTATGTGACTCTAGGTGTTGTGCCCTGTGTTTTGTGGGATGTTCTGTACAATGATGCAGTGATCCAGGGGGAGCTGGTTGTTGTTGTGTGTGTGGGGGGGACTGACAGTAATCAGAGCCTAATGCCCTGTCACATGGTTGAGACTCGGAAAAAATACAGAGGAGTCGTCCAGTCAGTCAGTCTGTGAAAACACCTCGGCAAATGAAAGCATATGCTTCTCATGTAGTGGAGGAACACTAGCGAGCAAACCACGGTCTGGATCCAATTTAAGTCATCATCGTCCTCATCAGCAAAGCCCCACCCACCCCCTCACCCCCGTTCTCCTCCACCTCCACCACCACCACTGACTCCAGTTCGCTCATTCCTAGGGGATGTTTTTGGGATGAGTCTCTTGTTATTTGTGTGTTTTTTATGTATTTGTATAAGCATGTGTGTGTGTGTGTGTGTGTGTGTTTGTGTGTGTACAGGTAGACATGTGTGTGTGTGTGTGTGTGTACTGTACCCTGTGCTCCCAGACACAGCACAGCGGCCTCATGTTCTGTCTAATTGGCAGGAATTGCTCCACATGGAACTAATTAATTCCAGACTGCTGGCTCATTAGTGACTTAATCGACTTGTGCTCCTCCCCCCACCCCCACCCCTCACTTCACTCTCTTTTTTTTTCCTGTAGGAGCATTTTCACATATGTCATCCAATCTTTGAAATAACACACATGGGTTCTCTATCTCTCTCCCTCTTTCTCAGTCCATCTTTTTCTTACTCTTTCTTGGTATGTTTCCGAAATACCCAGAACTGCCCCCCCACCCCATGTCTCCCCACCCCCCCTTCGATTTACTCCTTACACACGCTCTTTGAACCCCAGGCCCCTCTACTGCCCCACCGACCCTGACCTGGCAAACTGTAACAAATAATACCCCTTTTTGAGGCCCTTCAGATGCCTGCAGTTAGTCGAGACCCCAGGCAACCTCTCCCACTGCTGGCCCATAAACAAGCTTCCTCCCCAGCCACCATGGAGAGGGCAGAACAACTGCCATGCTGATCTGAGAGGGGCTTTTATTACCTGTCACCTTTTCTCACATGTAACATAAGTGTTGGACCTGGAAATATGACCTAAAGTGCTAAATTTAAAGATCAACTAAACAATGTGTTGAAAAGTTGTGTTTCACTGCCCTGTTCAGCAGAAAAGCCGAAACATTAACACTGGAATTCAGCTACATTTTTTGGATATTTGAGGTTGGGTCATGAGGTCATCAGGCTAAACAGGGTATTACAGATGTCCCTCTCCACAGAAACACTTCCAACACTGGGGATCTAGTTCCTCTATTTGTTTGAGTGTTTTCTTGCATACAAATTTTGTGATTGTATTAGACTGTTTCACTCTAATGTAGTCGTCTCTAAAATTATCCTTGTCATGCACCCACAGGAAACAGGGAACTCACAAAGACTCAAATATACCTTACATAAAACATATTATCATAAAACCATCATACATCATAAAAAAAACTTAAAATGCAGTTTGTTACTTGTCCAGTCTTCTCATTATGTCCATGTGTCTCCTCTTTCAGACCAGCGCGTGGGGACCTGTTTCTCTGCTCTGGCTAATGGCCGTTGTGCTGCCGAGCTGACTGGTCAGTACACCAAGATGCAGTGTTGCTGTGACACAGGACGCTGCTGGGCGTTGGGACAGATCCCTGAGATGTGCCCCGTCAGAGGTTCTGGTGAGAACAAGCACAAAAACAACACATTCTGAGTCAGAAGATACATGAAAACCCCATGTTTTAGTTGTTGACAACCACACAGGCTTATACCAACATCTGTGTTGTTGCTACCAAAGCGATGAATGTGAGCGAATGATCCATCACTCTCTTCCTGTGGGGACAAAAACTGGTACTACCCAACAATGGATTGTCTATGATTTGGCACGAACAAAGGCAGTAAATAAAGCCATGACTGTGTAAATGGTTCACAAGCCAAATTAATTCAACACTGTAATGTTTAACCAGACAAGACTGACTTTGTTGGAGAGAGGCTGCTTTGAGTTTGTGTGTGTGTGTGCGTGTGTGCATGTGTGTGTGACAGCAGGGGCCAGAGCAATCGCTCAAACTGATGAGCATGATGTCATGAAGACAAAATAAAAAGAGAAAGATGGAAAAGATTTATGTGACGATAATGACCCATCATCTTTTTCAGTCAAGCTGGAATCCAGAAAGTCTTCCCCTGCGTGAGACAATGTGATCCATAACTGATCTGTAACAGAATGTTCTCTTTGTCTCACTGGCATCATTCTGTGAACAGTGTATTTGATTTAGTGACAAACGAAGAGCAAAACATACAAACAAACATACTAAACAATAACATAGACACTCGCAAGTACATGGATCGTGTTCCTTTTTTAGCTCATATGTACAGACACAATAAAGTTACTGTAACTTCATGCTAAGGTGGAGCAGAACAGCTCATCAAGTGCAGTGTGACATACATTTTTCTCTTATTGCTTGGTCAGGCTTCGCTCCAGTTAAAGCATGTGAATCCAGTAAAACTCTTACAGGAGACAGTCAGTTCTGAAAGAACATCAACATTTACTGTAAAGGGCAGCAGCGTTTCTGGATTTCATTTAGCACCATACGTACACCATAGGACTTCAAATCAATAGGCTGAATTACTGTATTATTAGATTCTTGATCAAAAAATCTTTTAACAGTTTGCATCCGCTCACTCTGTGATCTCTGTTTCTCTTGCAGATGAGTTCAGGCGTCTGTGTATTGTAGGCGTCCCCCAGGGACACGGTCTCCCTCATGGCTACCCTAATGGACACTTCCCCAACAATGGCAATGGTTTCAACTATGGCCACAAGTTCCCCAGTGTACCTAACGGTAATGGCAATGGGGGCATCGGTGGCAACGGTGGAGGAAGTTTCGGAGGTAACGGTGGGAGCTTTGGAGGAAATGGAGGAAGCTTTGGAGGAAATGGAGGAAGCTTTGGGGGCAACGGAGGAGGACGTCTGAACCATCAACACATAGGTGAGTCTTTCTGTGGATCTGAAAGTGTCGAAAAGAGTTCGTTACGGACTTGAAAACGTTAATCATTTCATTTTAAATGTTGTATTGTTATTTGCAGGCTATGTTTGGGTAAATCCTCCTGTTTGTGTTTTCTCAGGAACTGTCTCTGTGAACGACTCCATTGACGTGTGCAAACATTTCACCAACCTCTGTCTTAATGGACGCTGCATTCCCACACCCACAAGCTACCGCTGTGAATGCAACATGGGCTACAGACAGGATGTCCGCGGGGAGTGTATCGGTAAAAACACACTCATACACACTGTCTAAAAGTACATGTAATGTTCAGTTGTCACGAACCTCACTGAGCCATATAGGCAGACAAAAAGGAGTGACAGCTTATACTGTGCACTGCACTGCCATCTTCTGCTGATGTTGGGAACTTAGTACAAGTGTAGGAGAACTCTACTAAAATGTGAATTGTGTTCTTGGTTTTTTTGATTTACTTTATTTTTCTCTCTCCAGATGTGGATGAGTGTGTGAGTAATCCTTGTATCAATGGAGACTGTGTCAACACACCTGGATCGTACCACTGCAAGTGCCACGAGGGCTACCAAGGAACACCAACCAAACAAGCCTGTATCGGTAGGTTCCTTTAACATTAATTTAGTACACACATATAACTGAGGTGGTATAAACTCATTTAACTAAAGTCTTGGTGTGCAGTATGAGGCTGATATGAGTCTTTCACACACATATCAGTTTATATGTTTGTACTGATATGAAAAACCTGTACTTTACAGCATGAGTGAAGTTTTAAATACAGTATTCTTTCTATTTGTTTCATATAGTTTTTTATAATAAAGTTAATGGTTAAACTGTAAAATATAAAGCCTCAATTATGTTTCTTTGCCATAAGTTTTTGACAAAGAATCATTGCCAATTCTTTTTAAATATATTACTTATTTTTATATTACTCCCTAATTTTGGTATAGGCATCGCCCCCCGAAAATATATATCTGTCAGGCTCTCGTGCACAATGTACTATGATTTATATTTAAAGGACAATTTATAAACCTTTCTCTCCTCTCTTTAGATATCGATGAGTGCATAATGAATGGAGTGATGTGTCGCAACGGCCGCTGTGTCAACACTGAGGGAAGTTTTCAGTGTATCTGTAATGCTGGATTTGAGCTGACTCCAGATGGAAAGAATTGCATTGGTAATAAACCATCTCAAAAACAGGTTTAACCTCATATGAACATTTCACCTTCATAAACTTGATCAAATTCCTGTTGTCTTGACCCTCCAGATCATGATGAATGTGCCACCACCAACATGTGTCTCAACGGCATGTGCATCAACGAGGACGGTAGCTTCAAGTGTATCTGCAAGCCTGGCTTTGCGCTCGCACCTAATGGACGCTACTGTACCGGTGAGTGTGATTTATGAATTACAAACACTGACCTCAAAACTTGGGACGGATTCAAACAGGCTGCTTCAAAACGGTGTTGACAGATTTGGTGTTCTTTGAAATCCTGCAGACTGCAGTTTGAACCCATTTCAGCTCAGTTTTGTTTCAGAAGTCAAGAGTTTTGAAACATGCTATTAGGTGGAGTCAAGAAAAAAAGACAGATAGATTAGATGGATACATTTATGAGTCTCTGTTGAGAGATGTTGTCTGGGAGTTTCGAGAGTGGCTGTCATTCCATCGCGGTCTCACCATAACAGAGTGCAGGTGCACACCCCAAATATAGCACACGTCATTCTAGATAATGCTAAGTCCTCATGACCTAATTTTCTGATATTCATATCTTTTCATACATGAGTGTTTATTCTTACTTTCTTTTAAATAGAGCATTAAAAACCAAAACAACAGAATACAATTCAGAGATGATCACATTTTAAGGGAGTAATTTAATTTATGACTTTTATTCTGAAAAAGTTGGAGCCTTTTCCCCTTTCATTTTGTAATGTAGCCAATGGGAAAGAAAGAAACATACGAGGACACAGAGTTACAAAACCCAATATGATTTTTTTACACTATCTTGTGATCTTGTGAACATCTACTACATGTTAAAAACCTGGAATATTAAAAACTTCCTCATCTTATTTGCAGTTGTATATACATATATATAAGCTGTTCTGTAAACTTGTGTTCCTCAGCTCATGAAGTCAAACGTGATATTAATAATTTGCCCTCTCCTCATCAGACATCGACGAGTGTCAGACATCCGGCATTTGTATGAACGGCCGCTGCATCAACTCTGAGGGCTCCTTCCGCTGCGAGTGCCCACCAGGCCTGGCTATAGATGTAGATGGTAGAGTGTGTGTGGACACACACATGAGGACCACCTGCTACGGCGCCATAAAGATGGGCACGTGCTCGCGTCCATTCCCTGGTGCAGTGACCAAGTCTGAGTGCTGCTGTGCCAATCCCGAACATGGCTTTGGAGAGCCGTGCCAGCCCTGCCCCTCCAGAAACTCAGGTAACATTGTTTAATTAGACTAAACTCATACCTACATTTTTCATTTTATTAAAGTAGTATTCCAGCTCATTAATCCTGTTTTCTTCTCATCTCTCAGCCGAGTTCCAGGCTGTGTGCAGCAGTGGCATAGGCATCACAGCTGATGGCAGAGGTGAGTAGGTTGCTTGTGAGTGTGAACTTCCCCACAGTGTAGTTAAGGCACTCATGTCAGTATTTGTCTGCACCTGCTGGATAATACCTCTCTTCTCCCAGACATCAACGAGTGCGCCCTTGACCCGGACATTTGTCAGAACGGCATTTGTGAGAACCTGAGGGGAAGCTACCGCTGCATCTGCAACATCGGCTACGAGTCTGACACCAGTGGCAAGAACTGTGTCGGTGAGTGGATTGTGTTTATGGTGTTATAGGGGAAATTCCAATATTCCCTGTGTTTGTGAATGTGGGTGTGTAAATGAATCTTAGGGGGCACCTGCAAATAAATAGGAACCACCATCAAAGTCAAAAATGCTTCATCAACATTGCCCACATCAGAAAAAGATTTGTTATAGAACACTCTGGGAACGGTCAAGTGTAGCAGTGGTGAACTTTTCGCCTCCAATCTGTGCGAGCGAGGAAGCGCATAAAACGTTTCCTGTGGTGAAGCAAATCACAGAGTGGCTTCATGTGGAGTTCAACTTTGGTGAACTTTAACCAGCAATATTCACAGTAACTTCGCATTTGCATATGTGACCATGGCCTCACTCTAAACAACTGAGACTCACTTTGAAGAAAAATACTGGAATTAATAAAAAAAAAAGACATGTTCTAAAGTGAATTTCTGTATATTTGAATCTATAAATATTACATTATTATATTATATTAACTTTTTAAATACTTTACAAGCTTTAAGTTTATTGAATTAAGTAAGTGAACTCTTTATCGTAAACTAGTTCAAAATCTTCAGTCTCTCTTTACAGGTCAATGCTGGTGGTTTGCAGATTTATCCCTCTAATTAGAAACTACATGAATAAACATGACTCTTGTTTTCTGTTTTCTAACATAATACAACAAACACTGATCTTCTTTTCTTTCTTCAGACATCAACGAGTGTGTGGTGAACCGTCTGCTCTGTGACAACGGATTCTGCAGAAACACTCCTGGCTCCTACACCTGCTCCTGTCCTAAAGGATTCGTCTTCAAACCCGAATCAGAGACGTGCGAAGGTGAGCGTGCAAGCACACACACAAACACATACATTTACTCTCTGACACACACACACACACACACACACACACACACACTTTGCTGTGTTTCCCATCCACGTGTTCTTCCTCCTTTTTTTTTCAAGGTCATTACAAGGTGACATTATAACCAGATGTGTTGCATTTAGTTTCAAGCAAACATGTGGCTTGTGGAAAGAAGACACAGGTTACACATTGTATTTGTGATCGCTAAATAGTGATCTGTTTGAATTTCCTGTGAGCCCTGACCTCAGGTGTTTGTTGTCACATGTTTCAGATATCAACGAATGCGAGTCCAGCCCGTGCATCAACGGAGCGTGTCGCAACGTGGCCGGATCCTTCAACTGCGAATGCACCCACGGCAGCAAGCTGGACTCCACCAACACCATCTGCGTGGGTAAGACTTCCCAAGTGCTTGACACAAATCAGAGCGGCACCACATGGTCTGAGAATCAGCTTGTGTGGAACAATGATTGCACACAGAGTGTCAATAAGAAATAATTGCTGCAAGAGCCTCATTGTCTAATCACTTTAATCGCGGTTTACGCTCCACTTTTGTAAACAAACAGCAAGGTGGGTCACGTTTCCAGGATCCGTCCAGAGATATTATCATCCTCAGATGTTGGGCAAAATGGCACACACGCATGATTTATGAGATAAATACTTGCATGCATGGCCTTGGGTCCCATGGAGATTATTTTACTTCATGGAGATCCACTGCAGATTTAGGATGACGTGTGATATGTAAGACTCGGCTGAGGTTAAATATTCCACTTGTTTGGAGGCTTGTTATTTTTTGGGGGGAAATTATTCTGAGAAAGCCACACGCTAATAATGACTGCAGATGTTTTTGTAATTGAAAGAGAAAGTGAGTCATTAAGAAATAATCACACTCATATTATTGCGTGAGCTGGATCTGCCTGCTAATGCCTCCGGTTTGGTTAATTTATGTTTTATGGTTTCAGAGTCCATCACTCAGCTGGGGAGGAAAAGGGAAAGCGAATTGTGGTTTTGTGTGTGTGAGGCATAGGGGGTTTGGAGGAAAGATGGCGCTTTTATAACGTTAAACTATTTCTGTTCTTTAGGAGTCACACAATCTGTTATAGTGGGAAACAGTGAAAGAAAACTCCACATTACTTGAATTTAAAGTCTTCTCTGCTGTTTCTTTGGCTCCACAGATAGCATGAAGAGCACATGCTGGCTGACGATACAGGACAACCGCTGTGAAGTCAACATAAATGGAGCCACGCTGAAGTCTGAGTGCTGCTCCACACTGGGAGCCGCCTGGGGCAGCCCCTGTGAACCCTGCGAGATCGGTCAGTTCAGATACAGATACATTCATAAAATATGGGTCCTTTAGAGTCAATATTTTCAGGAGAAAATGTGTTTAATAGAGGGGGAAGATATTTAATCATTGCTGCTTTTAAATCATGACCTCATCCTTTGAACGTCACTTTTCTTATTTTCCTCAGACACTGCGTGTTCTCGAGGATTTGCTCGTATGAAGGGTGTTGTATGTGAAGGTAAGAACTTCTGAAAACTTAATGAGTGCTGATGACTCTGCAGTCCTGCTTCTATCCAGCATCATTTCATGTTTTTGTCCTTCTAATGTAGCGTAATGTCCCTGCAGAAAACAAACCAGTGAATGTGTTTAACCTTGTAGTGATGCTTCTTCAAATTGTCCCTCTCCCTGTAGACATTAATGAGTGTGAGGTTTTCCCTGGAGTTTGTACAAACGGCCGCTGTATGAACACCCAGGGCTCGTTCCGCTGTGAGTGCGCAGAGGGTCTCACCTTGGACAGTACCGGACGCACATGTGTCGGTAAGTAAACAAAGAAAATATACATCCCATCACCTGATGATTATTTCCACTGGCTATGAATGCACTTCAGTAGAAAGGCCAAAACGTAGCCCAAAAACAGGAGTGACTTTGTGTTTGAACTTTCTAGATACACGCAGCGAGCAGTGCTTCTTGAAGTGGCACGAGGATGAGTGTGGCGAGCCGCTGCCGGGAAGATATCGTTTGGACATGTGCTGCTGCTCAGTGGGTGCTGCCTGGGGTATTGACTGTGAGGAATGTCCCAAACCAGACATGCCTGAGTACAAAGCCATCTGTCCCAGAGGGCCCGGCTTCGCCAACAGAGGAGATATTCTGACCGGCAGGCCTTTCTACAAAGGTACCAGAACTCTCAGCTTTATGAACATGGACACATCAGTGGAGTTTTTCTTTATAGAGCAAGAATCAGTGTGGTTCAGATGCAGAGAGGGTTATAAGCTGCATCAGCGAAAAAGTTCTGGTCTGAATGATGCATTATTCAGTGACTGTGTGCAAAGCATGGACAACTAGTAAAGTAATGAAGTCTCATGTCAGCTATATGGAAACTGTGTTATTATGACCACATCATGGTTATGTGCAGATGAAGCCATCCATATAATCACAATACAACTGCATTTAAATCCTGAACATTTTGTAATTCAAGTTAATCTTTTTGGATTTAGACAGTGCTGTCAAAAGGATGTTTAAAGATGTCAGATCTGACAATCCTTACTAATCCCACACAACCGTCTAAAGACTATTGGTGACAAGGCTTTTGAGACAATAGCACTTACGTTAAAAGTTTGCTTATTCTGTGGAATCCTTCAAAAGCCAGTTACTGACCTGTTTAAACAGGCATTCTTGCATTTATTTGGACCAGGTCTGTCTCTCTATGCACTTTACTGGACTCTATATTATTCTGTTTAGGGTATGTTTGTTTTCTGTTTTTACACTTTTAACTTCTTTGGCTCTAAAGCACCAAAAAACTTTGTGATTCTTGTCTATGAGTGCTGTACAGATACACTTTACTAAAGCACTATATAGATTCAAGTTATTATGATTATGTGAGTTTTGATTCACATTGTCTTTCTCTCAGATGTGAATGAGTGTAAGGTGTTCAACGGCCTGTGTACTCACGGAAACTGCAGAAATACCATCGGCAGTTTCAAGTGTCGCTGCAACAACGGCTTCGCTCTGACAGCTGAAGAGAGAAACTGCACAGGTATGAGAGAGAGAAATACATTTACTACAAGTTAAAAAGTGAATAATTAGAGAGCTTTCTTTTCTTAACATCTTTTGTGTTTCAGACATCGACGAGTGCCGCATCTCACCTGACCTGTGTGGTCACGGTGCCTGCGTCAACACGCCAGGCAGCTTTGAGTGCGAGTGCTTTGAGGGCTACGAGAGCGGCTTCATGATGATGAAGAACTGCATGGGTGAGCTGGAGACACATTCACACACACAAATACACCATTTCAAAGAAAACACACAATTTGAAATCATGTGGTCAATGTGGAACCACATGCGAGTTCATACATATACACTTTTTAATTCATATTTTCCTCCTCTTGCTTCTCTTTTCCCTCGTCCTCTCTCTCTTCATCTCCTCCTCCCTGTTGGCAGACATCGACGAGTGTGAGAGAAACCCCCTGCTCTGTCGTGGAGGAACCTGCCTGAACACAGAGGGAAGTTACGAGTGTGAATGTCCCACTGGACACTCGCTCACCGCAGACGGCTCTGCCTGTGAAGGTTGGTCATATATCTTTTACACACACACACACATGCATTCACAGAGGCTGACTGGGTGTTGTATATCATTCTCAGCTGTATTTTAACAACTACTCATAACATCAGTCACATCCTTAAAAGTTGTCTCACACAGTAAATTTAGATTCTCTTGTTTATGTCTTCTCTTTGGCTCAAGTAATGGCTCAGGAAACCCCCTTAGCAAAGGAGGGGTTGTAAAATGTCTCTATTAAGCTCATGTGTTTTATGTAATGTGTAATTCTTCACACTTGTTTTTTGCTTCAGATGTGAATGAGTGCCAGCTGAGTGAAAACTTGTGCAAGAACGGACAGTGTATCAACATGCCAGGGACGTACCAGTGCACCTGTGACACAGGTTACCAGGCCACACCAGACCGACAGGGCTGCGTTGGTGAGTTGAGACCCCCCCCCCCAAAAAAACTATGTGAATTTGGATCATTAGGAAATCTGCTTACATGCAGACAGCTGTTGATTGATCTTGCAGTATATTTAACTATTATGAGTGTGTCATTCAAATTTAACTGATGCAGAGATCTAAACTGTAAGTGTGACCTCTCCTTGCAGATATTGATGAGTGCACCATTATGAACGGAGGCTGTGAGACTCACTGCACCAACTCAGAGGGCAGCTACGAGTGCAGCTGCAGTGAGGGCTACGCTCTCATGCCTGATCTCAGGACCTGTGCAGGTAGATTGTCATGTCATGTCATTTCAGTCAGTTTATCACGTAGTGATGGTCTCCCATATGAAAATAAAGTTTAAATTATTGTTGATATTATATTGCGACTTATATTTAAATCACAGTGAGATGTGTTTCTCCCTTTTTAATCAGATATTGATGAGTGTGAGGAGACCCCAGACATCTGTGACGGAGGCCAGTGTACCAACATTCCTGGGGAATATCGCTGTCTGTGTTACGATGGCTTCATGGCTTCCATGGACATGAGGACCTGTATCGGTGAGAGGAGAAAAACATTCTGGCATTGTTGTCTCTTTAATTTTATCTATCATTGCATTTCTTTCCCTTTTTTTCTATTTTTGTAATTAATTTAGTCCTGATGTTTTTCTGCTTGTCTGGCTCCCTGTGGAACCTCCTCTGTCAGCCTTACTATCTGTCACTCTAACCTCCCAAGGCCACAACACTCACATACTGTATGTGTCTGTCCATCCCCATCTGACACAGATGTGAACGAGTGTGATCTGAACCCAAACATCTGTCTCCATGGCGACTGCGAGAACACCAAGGGGTCGTTCATCTGCCACTGTCAGTTGGGATACTTTGTCAAGAAGGGATCCACTGGCTGCACAGGTGAGTGCACGCTCTCCCACACAAACACACACAAGCACACATATACAAATACCAGGGGCTAAGCTGTCGCTGAGAGGTCTGGAGCTCTTGAATGTTGAGACAGTTCATCCATGCATACAGTAGTTCCAGGTCTATATTTTAGAAATGAATTATTAATTTGTACTATGGCATATGGACACCCAGGACAGAAGCAAAACTGCTGTGGTTAGTAAAAAGCAAAGTTTAACTAAGGCTAAAATATCCTATTATTTGTTTAATTTTCATACAGACTTTTGCTAGAAAATGCGTAAAGCAAAACTGATTTTACTGTGTGTTAATTGGTTGATTTATCTGCATGTCCTTCCAGATGTTGATGAATGTGAGATCGGGGCTCATAACTGTGACATGCACGCTGCCTGCATCAACGTCCCCGGAAGCTTTAAGTGTCGCTGTCGAGACGGCTGGGTGGGAGACGGCATCAAGTGTGTTGGTGAGTGTATATAGACTGATTTGAAATGTTTGACTTTAAAAGATAAAATAAACATTGTCTCCTGCAGAATATTTGATTTTGTGGCCGTCACTCTGTCTGTAGATCAGGATGAGTGCTCTGCAGAGGACCACTACTGTAACCCTAATGCAGACTGTGTCAACACGCCGGGGTCCTACAGGTGCACGTGCAAAGAGGGCTTTAATGGAGATGGCTTCTCGTGCTCGGGTAAGGCTGTCACAACAAATCGTGTGGGTGTGAACATTGAATTTCACGTCCAGAGAGTTTATCTGATGCATTGATCTGATGTGTTTCAGACATGGATGAGTGTGCGGACAACGTGAACCTGTGTGAGAACGGCCAGTGTCTGAACGCTCCGGGCGGCTACCGCTGCGAGTGTGAAATGGGCTTCATACCAACGGAGGACAGCAAAGCCTGTCAAGGTGCTGCTCTCATTCTGTCACATTTTATTCTCTGCTTTTATCATTTAGGTACTGTTACTGAAAAAAAAAGTTTCCCTCTCTCTCTCTCTCTCTGTCGTCTTTACCACAGACATCGACGAGTGTAATTTCCAGAACATCTGTGTGTTTGGAACGTGCCAGAACCTTCCAGGAATGTTCCGCTGTGTGTGCGATGACGGTTACGAGCTGGACCGCAGTGGAGCGAACTGCACTGGTCAGTTTGACACTTCTCATCTCTAAAATCACAACAGCCGGGTTTCTTTGTCAATCATAGTATAATTTCATGCATCACATAACCATTGAACATGTTCAGACCAAAGAGGTCAAAACTCTGCAAAGGCCTAAGATGGATCTGCTTGAGTGATCTGTTCAATCCTGTTTTAGCATCAGTTTCTGCATCAGTAATAATCCCTGTGCATACTAACACACATGAAAACGTATATATATCACGTACGTACACTCATATGTGTGCCAGTGTAAACAGGAAACTGACTGTCCACTCTGCAGTTGGTGCTTAGTTAAAGAAAATACTACAAACAAGAAATAACGGTGAAAAGTAAGAACAGGAACTGTTACTGAAGATATTTACAATATTTTGCATTTGCATTCACCGCTGGTAGTTCAGGTCGTGATTGACAACCAATCGGGAAGCAAATGTGGGTGACTGCATCATCGTTTCCAAACGTCTCTCGACCAGACTACAACGCAGCCCTGCAGTTTTTAAACTAAAACATGGCCAGCAGCATTTTCGAATGTAGGTGCTCAAAAACTCTGGAGTAGTGTGGACAGCAGGCGTAAACTTAGGAAAAGTGATAAGATTAAAGACTGAAATGCAGCAGCGTGGATGTAGCCACAGTTTGTGGCATTAATAAACATTTGATTAACTAAGAACATAAACATATTTTTGGCTTGTACCCTTTCAACATCAGTATGTAAACTGATAGGTTCATACATTTAGAAAGTTGTCCGTTATCAGGTGTGTTTCACTGAACATGTGTGTGTCACTTTAAACCACAGACATCAACGAGTGTGCGGACCCTGTCAACTGCATCAACGGACTGTGTGTGAACACTCCAGGAAGTTACATGTGTAACTGTCCGGCTGACTTTGAGCTAAACCCCACTGGAATTGGCTGCGTGGGTGAGTCACACCGAGAGCAGACAAACAAACAAAAGAGGCTCTTTATGGAAAAAAACATATTTCCCTCCATGAGTGATATAGTGTGGGATAAGAGATAAATGAATGAAATATAAAGATGTGTGCAATGGTTTAGTTTAAAATCTTATCCCTTAGTCATTACCCTCAACATTGTAATTTTCAAATACAGAAAAATGCATCATCCTCTATACATGTGTAGGGCTGTTGTGGACTATTGAAAGTTTGAAAATGTAACTTTCTTTATTTAAATGACTAAAAATGGGAGACTAGTGTATTTTTATTACAAGAGCATAGTGACAAATCAGATGATACAGTTCATATATATATATATACTGTATATATATATCTGACGATTAGGAGTTGGCAAAACCACTGTCCATTTCAGTTGTGGACTCACACAACATCATATGTGTCCTCCTCAGACACCCGTGTTGGTAACTGCTTCCTGGATATCCTTGCACGTGGCGATGGAGGAATCTCCTGCAGTGCTGAGATTGGAGTCGGAGTGACCCGAGCGTCCTGTTGTTGCTCCCATGGCGGAGCCTGGGGAAACCCCTGTGAACTGTGCCCCGCCCCCAACTCCAGTATGTGCCACCTCAAACGACACTTAGATTTATTTCAAATGCACATCCACGTGTTAGAGTTTAAATAGTCCGATTTGTTGTTACACTTACATCTTCTGTGAAATGGGAAGTCAAGCTAACTTGCTGTAACTATTCTGTCTTCTCTGTAGCGGAGTACAAGACTCTCTGTCCAGGAGGAGAGGGATTCAGGCCCAACCCCATCACTGTGATCCTGGAGGGTAAACAACCAGCTTTGGCCTCAGCTTGTGAATTATACCATCAATATACTGTACAAGCCATTGTAAAATCAATTCATGTGACATCTATCGCTCTAACAACGTGTTTTCTAGACATTGATGAGTGCCAGGAGCTGCCTGGGCTCTGCCAGGGGGGAAACTGTGTCAACACGTTTGGCAGTTTCCAGTGTGAGTGTCCAGCAGGCTACTATCTTAATGAGGAGACTCGCATCTGTGAGGGTAAGAACCGAAATTACACAGAATGATTTATTCTAAGTCAAACTCACAACTTATTCTAATGATCCATCATCATATCTTGATGTGCAGATATTGACGAGTGCACCACTCACATCGGGATCTGTGGACCTGGTACCTGCTACAACACATTGGGCAACTACACCTGTGTGTGTCCACCTGAATACATGCAGGTCAATGGAGGAAACAACTGCATGGGTGAGTTGGAGACAGAAGACACTTATTCTCACTGTCTCGTCTAAAGGTGCACAGAAAAAGTAATTTAAATATCTTTAAATCAATGAGTTATTAAGTACAGAATATCATTTGTCCTCCTCATCATACAGACATGAGGAAGAGCGTGTGTTACCGCAACTTTAACGACACGTGTGAGAACGAGCTGTCCTTCAACATGACAAAGAAGATGTGCTGCTGTGCCTACAACGTGGGAAAGGCCTGGAACAAGCCGTGCGAGGCCTGTCCTACTCCTGCTACTTGTGAGTGTCAATGAGAAACACCAAGCAACCACTACTACAGACCAACACACACTCACACAAGCATTTGTACATTATTGCATAGTTTATTTCATACATGCACTGATCTCTGGATAGTCTCCTGAAAACTCAGGAGAAAGTCCAGACCCCATGGTGTGGACATTCTATGGAGTTCATGTCTGAAAACAGCTTAAGACTCCTGTTTTACTCCGTTCACTGAGTCTCTTGTGTCCCGACTCTTTCAGCTCAGTACCAGTTACTGTGCGGTAACCAGGCTCCTGGTTTCATCATCGACATCCACACTGGCAAGCCGATTGGTAAGTTCAGCACTGGTTGTCAAAACAGCAGATCTGCACATTATTCAGCGAGTATCGTTTTAATGTTCTTGGTGTTTTGTCGCAGACATTGACGAATGCAGGGAGATCCCAGGTATCTGCGCCAGTGGAGTGTGTATAAACCAGATCGGGAGCTTCCGCTGTGAATGTCCGATGGGCTTCAGTTACAACAACATACTGCTCATATGTGAAGGTAGAACAAACGCATGTTTTTTTCTGTCTCACTCTTCTTTTTGTTCCTTGCATGTGTAACAAGGGACAAGGGATCACCTGTGAACTGAAAAATCATTTTTCCATGCTCTTACTTCTTCTGTTTGCTTTGTGTAATTCACAACACACACAGTGGCATCTGGGGGTTTTCTAAACCATGGGCACAATATACATAGAGCGGCAAATTATATGTCCAACATCCATGCACAATTCTAAGGTGCACATTTAAGTAATTCCTTGTTTACTGTTAGCTGTTACCATTGGAACATTGTCTCTTGTTCAAGCACATTTTGTACTTTACAAAATCTTTACAAAACGTATTTAAAGACTACTGACAGGCCAGGGGCACTTCAGGGGCCAATCAGATTTCACACACTCACACACACTCATATAAATACAGAAACACTCACTCACTGGCTGAGCGAGAGTCACTTTTACAAGCTGTCTACTCAGCGAACAATCTGCTGCTTCTTCCCTCATGAATGATGTCCTTGTTAAGACGAGCGTAGTGGCTCTGACTGGGAGCACCTGCCAGGATCCTTAAATCACGCGGAACCTGCCAGCGACTGTCTGAACCGTACACGAGCCAAAATGGCGCCGCTGTGTGTTCTCTCCTGCTGTCCACAAGCTGACAGTCTGCTCTGACCAGACAGTTATAGAGCGTGTGATTGATGACCGCTGTCTCTCTTTCTTCCTCCTGTGTAGATATTGATGAGTGTAACAGTGGGGACAACCTGTGCCAGCGTAACGCCAACTGCATCAACATTCCAGGAAGTTACCGCTGCGAGTGCTCGCCAGGCTTCAAACTGTCCCCCAGCGGGGCCTGTGTGGGTGAGTCCAGCCTTTATGACAGGCCATTGTTAAATTATCACTCAACAGTGGGAAAGATGATAAGTTCGTAGTAAAGAGGTTATGTTTTAATCTGCATTTGTTAGTTAGTAAGATATCACAAAAACTATCGCACCAATTTAGATGAAGTTTTGTGGAGGGATGTTACATGACCCAAGGAAGATCCCATTACATTTAGGTGTTGATCCAGAACAGGGGGAGGATGCAGGACTTATTATTTTTCCTTTTTCTTAACCATTTTCAACATTTTTGTTGCTTTCTCATAGAAAAATTAATGGATCTTGATGAATGAGGCATGTTTCGGGGACTGATATTTATAATTGTGTTATATATTTTTTTTAAGTACTTTTAAATGTGGTTTTATGAGGGGACTGTTGTGCTTTGGTGGAGGTATGTGCTCTACTTAGTGCCATTCTAGGTTATGAATGCTCTGTATGTTAAGTGAACAATACAAACAATAAAGTGAAAATGTAATCAACACTTTGGTTGAGAAACGATCGTTCATTACACCTCTTTAAATTATTTTAATCTATTCTCAATAATCTTCCTGTCTTTCAGACCGTAATGAATGTCAGGAGATTCCTAATGTGTGCAGCCATGGAGAGTGTATCGACACACAGGGCAGTTATCGCTGTATCTGCCAAAATGGTTTCAAGGCTACAGCTGACCACACCATGTGCATGGGTGAGAAGAAGACTCCACATATAAACACTACTTTTACTTTTGCTTTATAATCTCTTAGAAAATCTAGTATCTATCTTTGCAATGTACCTTTTTGAATAATAATTTCTTCTCTTGCTTTCAGACATTGATGAGTGTGACCGACAGCCGTGCGGTAATGGCACCTGTAAGAACACAGTGGGATCCTACAACTGTCTTTGCTTCCCCGGCTTTGAGCTGACACACAACAACGACTGCATGGGTGTGTATTGTTTACCGTTCTCTGTCTCTAAAGGTCACCAGCATTTAGTGCTTACTCTTAAAGGTCAACAAGTGCTGTCATGTTATTAAAGATTACACCTATAACATCCAATAACAACATGCTACCCTTTTCTGTAGCAGTGATATATTTAGACAGACATGAAAATGGAAATAAAAAATGTATATGTGATTTGACATTTCTTTGGCTTTTTTACGAAAATATCAGACACATTTTACAGTATATATTTTACCTCTTGTTGTGTAACAAAGAAAATTAGACACAGGAAAAGCATGGATTTCTGAGAGTCCTTATCTCTTCAATGTTTATGTTCATACAGACATAGACGAGTGCAGCGCCCTCCAGGGACAAGTGTGCAGGAATGGACAGTGTATCAATGGACTCGGTTCCTTCCAGTGTCTCTGCCACGAGGGTTATGAAAATACTCAAGATGGGAAGAACTGTGTTGGTAAGCGGTTAAATGAAAAAGTAAAGTTTGTCTGACAAAAACACAAACAAGCATTTTCTCACCTAGGCTTTGTTTTTTCGCAGACATCAACGAGTGTGTGAGTCTGCCCGGAACCTGTTCTCCAGGAACTTGTCAGAATCTCGATGGATCCTTCAGATGTATCTGCCCTCCTGGATATGAAGTGCAAAACGACCAGTGTATAGGTAAAAAAGATAAAGGCACCCTCCTTACCCTGAGTTGATCCCATTTTAACTCTAAAAGTAATTCTTAAACCTTATGCAAAGTTCAGTCTAAATAACTACATCGAATACCAATTTGTCTCTGAGCTGGAGCTTTTGTCGGCAAGTTCCAAAAGGTCAGAAAGTGAGGACCAACCTAAGCCTCCTCGCTTTCCAAACAAAGAGCTCACTCTCTATGGTCTAATCGTCAAACTGGTCCTCAAGAATATAAAAGACACACACTCACAGCAATAGCCAAGCTTCAGTACAAACTAAATAAACAGCCAGTCCTGATAAACACCTACAATTAAACTTCTTAGTGATCGGACCATCTTCTCCAACACACACACACACATTGAGAATACACACCTCTGTTCTCACCTCTGCCCTCGTTTCCCTCCCCAGATATCAACGAGTGTGAGGAGTCCAACATCTGCCAGTTTGGCACCTGCACCAACACCCCCGGCAGCTTCCAGTGCTCGTGCCAGCCGGGCTTCGTGCTCTCTGACAACAAGCGGCGCTGCTACGGTGAGAGAAGCTGTTAGTTAACATTAGGGCACAGCAGAGAGCTTTGAAGATGGATTACAGAAACAGCCACTGAAAAACAAGAGAGTTACAGGAACTATTTATTTTTATTTATGCAGATACCAGAGAGAGCTTCTGCTTCACCAAATTCGACGCCGGCAAATGCTCCGTTCCAAAAGCTTTCAACACCACCAAGGCCAAGTGCTGCTGCAGCAAGATGCCTGGAGAGGGCTGGGGCCTTCCCTGTGAGCTGTGCCCCCGAGAGAGCGATGGTGTGTATCACTGACACACACATGTCATTAAGATATACACAATCATATTGTAAAATAACTAAGCTGACCTTTTTGTGCGTGTGTGACACACAGCTGCTTTCAACACTCTGTGTCCTTTCGGCCACGGAGCTCTGCCTGGACCGGATAATACTCGTGAAGGTGAGAGCTGCAACACAAACAACCCTTGAATCTAAAGAAGTGGCGATAGTGGGGGTCTTATTTATATTTTGAAATATGCATTTGTATTTACTCTCCATAGATATGAATGAGTGTCTGGATAACCCAGGCGTCTGCCAGAACGGTATCTGTATCAACACAGATGGTTCCTTCCGCTGCGAATGTCCCTTCGGGTACAACCTGGATTACAGTGGAGTCAACTGTATCGGTGAGATGTTTTCTGCAGCCTAAGAACACAGTCTACAGACTTATCAATCAAAACTTTGTTACCAACAGATATGATACATCAGTTTTACTAACCTGTGATTCATATAAGAAGAATCATGTTTATATGTTTATCATGAAACTGCAGCAGTTGAGCAGAAAAATTGATGGCTCAATGGCTCCTTTTTAGAAACTATGATCTCTCAGAATGTATCACTGAAATCAATGTTAGCAGCCAGGTCTGATATTATTTTCCCAACACCCGAGTTAGGATTTTTACTGCATTAGAGCCCAATCTATTTTCATGAGGAGGGATGAAAATAGATTGGGCTGTAATGCATTCAGGGAGTTTCTTCAAATTTGATACTAATGTTCAGTTGGACTCAGGGATAAACATATTAGATTCTATTTTGGTGGTCAATGGTCGAAACTGCACTGGTTGTTGGAGGCATACATCCACAAAGCAGTGACTCTTGTGGTTTGGACAGTTAAGTTGTTAGTAACTGTCTTTAAAATCGAATGTGCAGTATAAGTGTTTGCTTGCTTTTAATTGTCTACTGTTCTTTCCTTGCTTTACATCTTTTCCAGACACTGATGAGTGCTCCATAGGAAACCCATGTGGAAATGGAACCTGCACCAATGTGGTGGGAGGTTTTGAGTGCTCGTGTCAGGAGGGCTTCGAGCCTGGACCCATGATGACTTGCGAAGGTCAGACATTTACAAAGCAATACACTAGACACATTTACACAAGGCCGTTCTGCATCATAAACTTGAATGACACAACCCTGCTTCTCTCTCCCTTTGTTTCAGATATCAACGAGTGCTCCCAGAATCCTCTGCTCTGTGCCTTCCGTTGTGTCAACACCTTTGGGTCTTACGAGTGCATGTGTCCTGCTGGCTACGTGCTGCGAGATGACCAGCGCATGTGCAGAGGTGAGAGGACATGGCAGATTTCCTGTTTGTAAAGTGTCACATAGCTGTAGCTTTCCTCACTGGCAATCTCTCCCTGTCCCCTCCCAGACCAGGACGAGTGTTCTGAGGGTCTCGACGACTGTGACTCCAAGGGTATGACCTGCAAAAACCTGATTGGTAACTTCATGTGCATCTGCCCTCCTGGCATGCAGCGCAGACCAGACGGAGAGGGATGTATGGGTGAGAGAAAATTCCTTATATGCGTTGTTCACCTCAGTCTACACACAATAGCTGCTGCTGTCACTGGATTTTTCTTCACTCTTCGCCCGCTCATCCTTTGCTCTACATACTGGCAGACCTGAACGAGTGCCGTGCCAAGCCTGGCATCTGTAAGAACGGGCGCTGCGTCAACACGGTGGGAAGTTACCGCTGCGAGTGCAACGACGGCTTTGAGCCAAGCTCCACTGGAACTGAATGTATCGGTAAGATCAGACTGTGGGGGTAAAGATTTCATTACTGAAACTGTGCAAACACTTTTCTTTTTAAAGTCAGATAAACAAATGTACACAACGCGAGAAGAATGATCCAAGTTTCAAGTTTTTAATAAACAAATAACTATGTCTTTCCTAAATGGAGTAAAATAGTAAAAATCCCATTCATTTTCTGAAAAGAGGTTTTGATTATCAGCCATAATATTGTAACTTTCCGAGGTAGACTTACCACAAGCTACAAGATTGTGAAAGGATGGTATATGCTCCTGTAGAAGCCACAAGTCTGTATGATATCAACTGCGCTTCAGGAAAACTTGTTCTATTTATGATGTCACAGAGAACCTCCACATTACTCACAATCAGGTGTAATAGCTATGACTCTAATTCGTGGAGCTCGCTGTTCAGAAATGTTTACCGTGAAAATAGGTTTCAATTGGCTATGATTGAAGGGTTCTGTGTTACGTTTACCACCGAGCAAACATAATTTCCCTTCCCTTTCTTACATCCTGCGTTTGTTTAAAGATGAGGAAATTATCTTCAAATTCAAGCAGAAACACTGGAAGTCATTAAAAAGGGATAATTTATATTGGCTTGTGGGATACGTAGGTTCCTTCATTTGTAAAATAATTATAAACACAGTCTGGTACCTTTGACTTTTTCCATTTTCCTTTTTTTTTTGCAACAAAAAAAAGGTTTTACGGTCACCATTCATCTTGGTTCCAGGCGATTTGATAAAAAATCAATGTAGAGAATAAGTGGGAAATTGACTTCTGGACGGGGAAACATTCTAAAAGGGGGCAGCCATTGTTTTTGCTCTATGTCTAACTCCAGACACTCATTTGTCTATTGTTTTCCCTTCAGACAACCGAAAGGGCTTCTGCTACGCTGAGGTTCTGCAGACCATGTGCCAGCAGTCATCCACCAACAGGAACAGTGTGACCAAGTCTGAATGCTGCTGCAACATGGGCCGAGGCTGGGGCTCTCAGTGTGAGCTCTGCCCGCTGCCTGGCACCGTACAGTACAAGAGGATGTGTCCACTCGGACCCGGCTACACCACTGATGGAAGAGGTGAGGAGTGCTTTAACAGGCCTACACAGTTTTATCATATATAGACAGTTTTGGATTTGGGAAGTACACAAGTGAGTTAGGCACACACAACAAGCACACACTGTCATAAATCAGCTTAGTGGGACTACGAACACTTCACTGAATTATGTGATGATTAGTGTGAGCTGCTGTCTGATCCGGATCATTGTCTAAAACGTTTCTGTACTTCAAGATATCAACGAGTGCCAGGTTATGCCAGATCTGTGTCAAAACGGTCAGTGCATCAACACCATCGGCTCCTTCCGCTGTCACTGCAACGTGGGATATAAAACGGACTTCACTGCAACCTCCTGCGTCGGTATGGCTCACCTGTTTCTTCTCTCAGTTTGGTTTGACACTGGCATCAATTTACAATCATTTTCCACAGCAACTCTGCCCATATTCTTAATTTTCTCGTGTGCAAATTTCAGATTTGGACGAATGCGCTCTGTCTCCGAAGCCCTGCAACTTCCTGTGTAAAAACACAGAAGGCAGCTACCTGTGCTCCTGCCCCAGAGGATACAGCTTACAGCCCGATGGAAAGACCTGCAAAGGTACATGCACTCTGAATTTACTTCTTTGTGCGTCTAAGGATTGATTTGCTGTTCATGAATAAATAAAGAATATGAAATATTATTTGAAGATCTTTTTCATAAGAAGCAGGCTGGGTTCTGTTAATTCCATCACGATATTGATAAGTATAATCAATATTTAATCATCGATGCTTTAGTATGTTGCAAATGAAATACTGAAACAATGATTTATTACCAGCTCCATGTTTTCATCTCTTTATGTAATATGGTGTTTGTGCTTCTTTCTCTCCAGATCTGGATGAATGTTCAACCAAGCAGCATAACTGTCAGTTCCTCTGCGTCAACACCATCGGAGGCTTCACCTGCAAGTGTCCTCCCGGCTTCACCCAGCACCAGACTGCCTGCATCGGTGAGCAAGAGACAGGAGTTGATAAGTGTTCCTCTGCAAGCAAATAAAAAGGTTTTGTCTGAAGGACGAGAGTCAAACAAAGTTTTTAAAAAAAATGCCTTTTCTCTTTCCAGACAACAACGAGTGCTCGGCTCAGAGCAGTGCGTGTGGTTCCCGAGCCGCTTGTGTCAACACGCCTGGCAGCTTCAACTGTGAATGCTCCAAAGGTTTCTCTTTGGACAGCACAGGCGTGGAGTGTGAGGGTGAGCAGGTCCATTAACTCTAATGTTCGGTTGGGTGTGGTTCTGAGAGTTGAGCCGAGGTGTTTGTAAGTCTGTTTGCACTTAGTCTTATGACTGAAAAGTCTTTATTTTTCTTCTCCTCCTCAGATGTGGATGAATGTGGCAGCAACCACCGCTGTCAGCACGGCTGTCAGAACATGCTAGGAGGTTTCCGCTGTGGTTGTCCTCAGGGCTACGTGCAGCACTACCAGTGGAACCAGTGTGTCGGTGAGTTACTCTTACTCAGCCTGGGAGATTGATGTCATGACAATAATAAACAAAAACTTTTTGCAACTACGTTCGTCTATAGTATAATGCTAAAATCAATGACTTTTTGATAAACAATCAAAAGTACCTGTTACTTTGAAATGCATCATCATTATGAATAAATTTGCCTAATTGATCTTATTTAGTTTGTAATGAGACAAAGTTAACCCATATTTTTTTACATTTTGCAGTTTATAGTCCATATTTTATCACATTGTACACCTGGGACATTTTAAAATAAAATGATAATTTCATAAAATCAGTTTGCTGGAAGAAACACCTATGAAATGGGATAAAGTCATATGGGCACATTTTTAGATGTGATTTTTCTTGTGTTTGTCGTATTGCGTCATGCAAGATTTTTGACTTCCCCTGCAGATGAGAACGAGTGTCAGGGAGGAACAGTTTGCGGCTCCGCCTCCTGCTACAACACACTGGGCAGCTTCAAGTGTGTGTGTCCCTCTGGCTTTGACTTTGAGCAGAGCGGAAGCGGCTGCCAAGATGTGAATGAATGTTCCACAGGCAGCAACCCCTGTGTCTACGGCTGCTCCAACACAGATGGAGGCTACCTGTGTGGCTGCCCTGGAGGTTTCTACAGAGCTGGACAGGGGTGAGGAACAAAGTTACAGGAATAGTGGTGTCAGTGGACAGTTTTTGACTAATCCCTGGTTTTGACAATGTTTCTTGGGCAGGGAGCATTAAATGTGACATGATATTCACTCCTCATGCTGACCACACTGACCTTTCTGTTTGTCTCCCTCCAGTCACTGTATCACAGGCTCAGGTTTCTCAGGCCAGTTTGGGGAGGGTGAAGAGGACGACAGCTTGTCTCCTGAGGCCTGCTACGAGTGTAAGATCAACGGAGGTGGAAAGAATGGACGACACAAGCGCAACACTGATGGAAATGAGCTTAACCAGGTACATGTGTTAAAGATATAACTATTCTTTAAAATGTCAAAAAAACGACTAGACCGACTATTTTGTTCACTTGTATGTACTTGCATCATCAAAAATGTTTCCAACATAGTTTCCAGAGATATCCTTTAAGTTAATGGGATGCTAGCTAGTTTGCTAATCAGTTGTTTTTTCCTTCCGCTGTTTGAATTGGTTACTCTTAATGGATCAAAATGATTTATTGCCGTCTGCTGGATAACGTGAATAATACTTTAATGCATCACCTCCTCTGTGAACATGATTTGCACTTGAGTCAGGGTCAGGAAAGGTTCACCTCTGATCCCTCTGTCTTTGTCCTCGCTCTAGGAGCCAGCAGTGAGCATGGCCAGCGTGGACACCCAGGCCTCCATCCCCATGAACCTCTCTCTGGCCTCGCTGGGCAACAAGGAGCCTCTGCTCGAGCTCCTGCCCGCCCTGCAGCCGCTGGAGCACCACGTACGCTATGTCATCACCCACGGCAACGCAAACGAACACTTCCGCCTGCTGGAGCGCCGCGACGGAAAGAGCGTGCTTCGACTTGGAAAGAGGCCGCCCCCACTAGGTTCCTACCGGCTGGAGATCGCCAGCCTGCCGCTGTTTGGGCCCCGAAGACTACACCAGCTGGAGGAGCAGCATGACAGTGACTACCTACAAGGAGAAATAGGAGACGCCCTGCGCATCAAGCTCCACATCCACCTGCACTGAGCTCAGAGTGTGCCTCGCCCTGGACTGATTCCTGAAGCCTGAGAGTTTTAACCTGCCCCCCTTTTTATCCAGTAACTCCTCCTCCCAGCTCCCCCCTGCAAGACCATCCCCACCATCAGGGGGTTAATCAAGGGCTATGAAAAACTGAGTCAATCAGCCCAACTCTACCACCACTTTGTTACTGTTCATGCTATTATATGTTCATGTTTGTTTTTGTTTTTTACCCTCTAGCGCTCCCTCCACCTCTTCCTGATCTAGCACTCATTCTCCATGGAGAGATCCAGTGGAGGAGATGGCAGAGAGGTGTGTTTGTGCTCGGACCACACGACACAGCAGACAGGTGGCCCGCAAGTCCATGAAGCACTTTTAGTAGACAAGCAAAAAAAAAAGAGGTGCTGAGAGTGGCCAAAACTGTCTTTATGCAGCATGTAGGGTGGTATTTAAATCACTGAGCAGGAGCTAAAGTGAAGTCTTTTTCTTTTACTATTATAAAGAATAGAATATTAAGGCTAAAGATCAGGGGTCAGGTGCCATCATGGTGGTCCGAGGACTCTCTCACCTCTCTGTCATCTTGCAAAAAAAAAATCCAAAAAAATCACAACACTGGGGAAGAAGGATTATCACCTCTGCCCCGCTCAGTATTGTAGTTTGTCATTTAATGTATTTGTGCTGTTTGAAAAATGTTAACACGAAGGACTGCAACATTTACACAGCATTTCAGGTTCCTACGTCCATAGCTGGATGCCACACCCATTTTCAGATGAGAGAGGACAGCGAGCTGCGTTCTGCTCTGTTGTGACTGACTATTGTCCTACCTGCAGGCAGCGGCAAGCAGGGATCAGCATGTTTGCGTGTGTGCGTGCCGTCATGTGTGGTTACCTCAGCACCTCTCGCAGAGCGTGGACACCATGCTGTGATGCTGGTGTTAAAACAAAAGAGGGTGCTAGTGTCCCTCAGCATCCATCATGAGCAGGGATCACATCAGTTAGTAGCCTGTAGACTTAAAAGAAGATAGATCAGGTCATGTTTGTATTTCTCCTTTAAGGGATGTAAGACTTCAGGTGCACTGGTTTTTGACCTGATAGCAGCTTTTCCTCATGAAGTCTTTGTTCCCTCGTCAGCTGTCAGACGCTTATAGCTTCTCCTGAACACAAACGCTGCAGGAGAACGGTGCAGTAGCTGACGGCCGGTGCTGGGTGGCTGAACTTGACAATAAGCTGACTTTATCTGACTTCTTTGACTTTACCACGAGCTTGATGTCTGAGGTCTGAGCCTTGTTTACAACACAGTAATGGTCTCAAAGGTACATGACATGTCAACATTACCTAAGCTGTAACTAAAGGTAGTGCTTTACAGTGTAAGGGCACGCACAGGTGAACACAACCTCACAAATAAAATAAAAAAAACACAGGTCAGGTCATCTTTCATTTCTCATGATTAGTTTTTCTCTCAAAGAGAAAAAAGGTGCTAGATAAGACCATCTCTTACGCTGTACAAAGAAAGTGCAGTCTTGAATCTGGATTGCAAAAGTGACATTTCTTTTTGCTAGGTTTTTTTGTTGTCGTTCGTCTGTCTTTTGTATTGTCTCATTGCTGAAAAAACAATATTATCAAACTTGCTTCTTGAAAATTAAATTGTATATTTTTAAGTGAAATGTTGACTTTTTTTTTGAAATGTCAAGGCTGCCAAATCAAATACTCACAGTGAATTCAAGACTGAAGAGCTTTAGTGCTGTTGACTTTGTTTTGTTGAGGGGGATAAAAAGATGCAAAACCACAAATAAGCAAATGAGGCATCACTGACTGAATTGTTAGAAACCACAGGCATCAGTCAAATCAAAAAAGAAATTAGAATACAGACTTTAAGATAATCAACATTCCGATTGTCTATTATCACACACTGTCTGTACAACCTCATCAAAACCATCTCCATGTTGGATGTCTTGTGCTTAAACGCTATTTTTTTTTCTCTTAACAGTCTAGGTCGCTGCACTGTCCCACAGCCGAGGCAATGTTTATAACTCATAACCATTTTCTAACCTGGGAACCTTTGTATACTTTGTATCTTTATTGTCAGTTTGTATTTTTTCTTTTATTTGCCACTATGTTTAAAGAAAGAAAAAGGCAGTGTGCTGCGTGTGCTTACTGTATCTCAGCGTCAGTGTCAAACTTGAAACAATGCTTTCGTCATCTGCTTGCATCGAAGTATCGCGTGCTTTTGAAAACAAGGAGCCTGAAGTTTCAGTAGTTGGAATGTTCAGCACAAGCCTGAAACATGTTCATACCAAAGTCAGATACGACAATCATCACAGTCGCACATCTACTAGTCGAGGATTAATAAATCAGTCAGCCTTCATGAGATAGCTTTTAATATGATCAATATTTGTGCAAAATAAAAACCAAAGAAACCAAACGGCAGTCTGTAAGATCAGAGTGATTCATATCATATTGTACACTTTTTGTCTAATGACATAAATGGCAATAAAGTATTGTGGGTTATATTTTTAACACTTGTGTGCCTGAGTTTTCTTTCCTTTTCTCACCATGTTTGTGGCTGACAAATGTGACACATGATGAAGTAGTAGTAGTAATCATTTTTATTTCATTCTCACCCTCCACACAGTCCAGCTATCAGTGGAAATTAAAGAGTAATTGAAGGAGGAATTCTTTTCATTTCACCGATTTCAACACAGTGTATCAAAAACAAAGCAGATAGTCAGAAAAATCTGTGGTTACAAAACACAAACGAGCAAAGCTACCTGCTTTGCGACAACCTCTGAAGACCCACAGTCTAAGGATCGATACGGTGGGAGAAGGACAGAAAGATAGCAAAAAGGAGACTCTTAAACTTGAGTCAGGAATAGAAAAATAAAGCTTTTTTCCCCTAAAAGTCGCTGTTTGCTTCATCACCACACTTGGCAGGCTGACTAAAGCAACGGACACAACCAATGAACCTAAATTCTACTTGCAGTGTAAGAGATTATATAGTTTCAATATGGCTTCTCAGTTATAGACACAGTAACACACAAAACATACACAGACAAGGTTTTATGGACACATAAACTACGTGCTCGGGCCTTAAAAAAGCATCTGGAGCTCGTCTGGTGCTGCTCAGTGTCCGAAATCAAAACACACGTGAGGTTTGTGCTGCAGGATCAGCACATCAACATATGGAGGCTTTGTAATGGACCTTGGTTCATTTAAAGGGGCGTCTGCTTAAGTGTAAACTGTGTCTTTCCTGCGTGTTCTCATCATGAATGCAACTTTGAGGTTCAAAACTATGTCGTAATCTGACAAGTCGAATTTGGAAAAACTAGCCCTAAAGGTGAAGTTGTAATGTGGCGGCATGTTCGCCTCATACATTAGTTCATGTTAAGGCAGCTGTGCAGCTTATTATTTCTGGGCTTGGATGAGTGTTTGGCTTGCAGGGTGTGGTTCTTGTTGGATCAATCTGGTTATGGTTGGATAAGGTACAGCAGCCTCATATTTACACCAGTGCACAGACTGCAGTAACATCAGGTAAACCTACTTTAGTATACCCTGCATCATCACTGACCATCATCATCTCTGAACTAGACTATGCCATAAAAGATTGTGTCTCTGTACTTTGAAATGTTCCCTCTTCTACACCCTGTTGACAGGCCACCCTACACCAGTGCATAATCAAACTGACCCCTCTCCAGCCCCTCCTTGTGGTCAGTCCAGGATGATGCAGGCATGCGGCTGTAGGGGTCAAGCAGGATCCTGAAGCACCTGACCAGCAGGAAGACCAGGAAAAGCATGAGGAGGCCTACGAAGGCCAAGGCGGTGCGCTGCTCATTGTCCACCCCAACCAGGGTCAGAGGGGGGCTGCTGCTGCCACCGCCAGGACTGCCGGGGAGGGAGGAGCTGGCTGGGGACAGCAGCAACTCGTAGTCAATGGTGGGCACATCGTTCATCCTCCACGGGACCCGAAGGCAGGGTTTACACACTGACTGGATGGTTGGTGTGTTGGGAGGAGTTGCGGAGTACGAAGGGAACGTGCTCATGAGGGGCAGCGTGATGAGAGAGGCCAAACTTGAGACCTTAATATGAGGCTTAATGAAAAAAGATGCTGCACAGGTTTTATACTGTGGACCCTGTTTGTTGGCTGATGAAGTTAGGTAGCCTAAGTTAGCAGGTAGTTAACAAGTAGAGGACTACAGTAATAGATGTGTGTGTTGTGATCACAGCGGGACACACATTAAATCAAATCTAGGTCAGTCAGAGTGACATGACCCAGACGGGCCCAGCCCTAATCTGCTCCGACAATGTGACAGACACACATGAATATGCACACACGCACTTTTCATTTAACATGGACTACTTTTTAGTTTCGCACATTTCGAGGAAGCGATTTAATCAAACTCTGTGGCGTCCAGCTTTAGTGGCCTACCCTCGGGCAGGTATGGGTTTTTTTCGTTTTTATCAGAGCCACTTCAGCTCTCACCCTCACTCAATGTAGACAGGATGTGACACTGCCCCCTGCTAATCCAAACACAAACACCCTTCTGATCACTGTCTGTGTGTGTGCTATGTCACTGAAGTAAGAGCCAGAGACAAGTGTTCACAAGGCTATTTAAAGCGTCTACAGAGACCGGCAACACCAGGTGTTCATATGCTTGGGCGTTTGTTTGTGACTAATTAGATCAGGAGGTCAGTGGATCAATAGCCCTGAATATAAAACAGCGCAACACCTTCCCTGGTGGCACCTGCTAAATGCAAAGTTTTTCCTTCAGCTCAGCTCGTTGAAGCGTGATAAGTAGGTCAGAGAGCTGTCAGGTGTTGTAATAAGTTACTTTCACTGTTTCCCTTTGGGATGATCTCTTCAGAAAACTGCCTCTCCTGACAAGACAAGCAGTGAGAGGTAGAAAATGACTCAGAAGGTAAGTTTTTGTCAGTCACAAAGTAAAAGTGGCTTCATCAAGTCGAGTCTTGTTCACCAAGTTCATCCAGCTGTGCTGACATCACAGACAGATGTTCCTGGTTGAGACGAAGAATCACTGGAGCTCCCTCTAAACCACCACCTGCAAACAAAAGAGCCAGCTGGTTAGAAAAGCATTCAATAGTTGTAGCTGTCAAATGTCCTAAATCAATGAATCATCTTTTACAACACAATTAGCAGGCAGGTATATGGGGGTGTTTCAAATAGTCACATTTAACATGACCCTATAAAAGGTAGTTGACAGAAGTTTGCCTTTGTTTTTTCTTTCCTGGTGTTTCATGTTCAACATTATGAATGCAACCAAAACCGAGTTGCGAAAGATGAAGTCACAGCTTCCATGTTTCATCTGTGATTTTATGACCCTCTGCTCAATAAGTGACAGTGACATTAGCCATGTGTAGGGAGAACACTGCCACAGCATCCCCCTGTAATGACACTCAATTAGTCTGCTGATTATGGTGTCATTACAGCCACTTTAGCAATAATGAATGCATGATTGTTAAAACTGATACCACATTACATCAGCCTCATTTGTCAGTGCAGTGTTACAGTGGGCCATTTGCTCACTCACTGACCCCCCTCTGTTCGTTTGTTCACGTGATGGAGGGAGAGACAAAGTGTTGTGGAGCCTCATCAATAATCTAAAATCACACCTCCTGTGGCAGACCAGGTTTCAAATCATGCAGGTAACATGATATGCAAACCATTTCACCGGCTCACCCATCTGAATGTAACAGTGGCTGGGCTAAACAAACAAGATATGGAGAGAGAGCACTGTGTGTTTGTGTGTGGTGGGTAAGGGGCAACACAAGGGAAGGGAAAGAGAGATAAATGGAGGAGCCATTAATAGTAAGTGCTTTTAGATTTTCAGGAAGAAGGGATAATGAATAGAGGTGCAGAGATCAATGCAGGTTGAATTTATAATTATTATTGTCTGTACGAAGAGAGAACATATGATGAGGCAGGTAAAAAGAAAGAGGAACAAGTAAATCAATATATTCAGATGAAAATAGGAAGAATAAAAGGAAGTAAGGTAGATGGATAGAGGAGAAAAAGATGGATGGATGAAGTAGAGGTCCCTGTGGTGAACAGGCAGCAGTACAGAAGAGAGCAGAAAGGTTTGCTGGCACGAACTGGACCGACTATCCTCTGCATGACCGTGGCAAAATGCCTTTTCCATACTCTCTCTTTCTTTCTCTCTCTCTGTCGTGTTCAGTTCAGAGGTTTTCTATCTGCTACTTCATCAGCTAGTGTCTCCGGGGTGCAGCAGACTCAGGCAGGATGACACACCTGGGAGGCTCCACTCGCAGCGTGGATGAATATGCACTTCTGCATGTGTGCATATAGACCTGCCCTGTGTGTGTGAGTTGCTAGCTTGTCACTGCCTGAGTGATGTGAGTTGCAAAACCCAAAAATAGGTCAGGAACCTTGAAACTGTTTTCAAGGACATTGATAGAACCGACACTGTCACACAACTACATCTGAAGACAAGAACTCCTAACAGCCTCATGGTTTATTAGGAGAAATGTTGTTCAGTAGTTATTTTGTAATTCCTCTTTTATGTTCTTACTTAAAGTGGCATTAAGAATAACCTGCTATTTTCTCAGTGGTCAAAAGGTTTGTTGAAGAGAGAGGCTGGGGAACCTCCAATCTCAAGCCAGTACTCAGCCAGCAAGACAGTTTGATACAGCCTGCAACTCATTTCACAAATTCAATGTCATAGTAGTAGATTAACATGTCCTTTAGGGTGATCCTTTCAGGCTGTATATCTCAAGTCACAGTGACGCTGAATGAAACACACTCAGCAACTGTCATGTCGTTAACGACGAAACCCTCTTCTGATAGAGACCAGTCAGTCACAGAAGTTTTAAAGTTAGAGAGCTAATTGCTAAGAAGATGAAACCTTATTCAGAAGGACAATTTGTGAAGAGGACTTGTTGTGGCTACAGAGTTGCTGGAACCAGACAAATTAAAATGGTTCCAAAGTGTCAGTTTTTCTTGAAGTACCATCCCAGAGCAGATTACTGTTGACAAAAAAATGAATTATTACCAAACGACACCGCGAGAAGTTACCAGTTCCAGTGCAAAGCTGTGCTTTCCCTACTATAACAGGTCAAGGTCAATTCACTGTTTATTATATATTCTTTATTTTATTGTTTTAATTTGTGTGTGTTAGTGATTAGACATCTACAAGCTTAGTCCACAAAATTTCACACAAGATCTCTTTAACGGTTGAATTCAAATTTAAGTTCTACCACCTTTGAAACCAATAACAGTGTAAAACAACTGTCAATCTAATACAGTTTAGTGAAAATACCTGTACACACATATACACAAATACACACGTCTTAGTGAGGCAAAATGCATTCCCTAGCCGCTTCCCCTTACCATCCAAATTAAATGACTTAACCGTCAAACAGTCCATTAGAAAAGTGAGGACCAGTCAAAACGTCCCCACTTTCCAAAATGTCCTCACTCGGGTATATTTTTTAAATGGTCCTCACAAAGGTATAAGTACAGGATCACACGGTATCACACACACACGAAACGGAAGTGTGAGGGAGAGCAAAAACAACATTGCTGCTGAAACCCACACACTGGGATCATTTCCATTTTGAATGTGGGATGAGCAGCTAAAAGGCACAAACAACCTCCTCATGTGATCCTGTCTAACCTATAATGTTTTAAATGGCAGCATTTTTCCATTATCTCTCACTAACTCACTAGAGAGAGAGATGATGATAACTGGACGGGGGATGGACTCAGTGGTCAGGTAGTTCAGTCGTGGTCTCCCAAGATGCATGTAAGTGTGTGTGTGGGTGTGTGTATGTGAATAAGTCATTGGAAGGTAGAGGGAGGACAGACAGAGATTGCTCAGCTTATTTTCCTCCTCGTTAAGTCTCACTCCCACCATCACCCTCCATCAGCCTCACACACTCACGCACATACTGACACACACACACACCCAGACATTCTGTCGTCCATCAGCCTTGTCTCAGTCGACTTGCATTGGTTCTTGCCCACTCCATTTCCCCACCAGAACACTTCCTCAACGCACCGACGAGACCCCCGAGATGAAGGGAAGCGAAGCGGACGCTCGTCAGTCTTCATCAAAAAGCCCTTAAGTGGACACATCTTACACATGAACACACACACACAGAAGTGCAACATGGACATACCCAAACTTACGCATTACTACATATAGTAAAGTGTAACACATACAAATACAGTCCACATAGGCTAGATAGAAATAGGCCAATACCATTTTTCCCTTTCTGATTCTGATACCTGGACATTGTGTATCGGCCAATAACGAGTACAGATCTGATACCAGTACATTTAAAAAATATATCAACTTACTAAACATATTTGAACAACTGTGTGCTACTAACCCTGTATGGAAGTGATGGTTGCTATCATTACTGTATGGCCTTGCTCAGGTTAAACCCTTTGAAAGTGAAATACGTGGAACTACACTATGTAGTTTGACAGTCTAAATTGAAAAAGAGGAATACAAAATGATTGCTTCCTTCAAATAGCACACCTCTGTTTTACTCTTTCCAGCAAAAAATATTGCCAAATAGCAACACTAATGGAAAACTTTTCTTCCTGCTCTAGAAACAGGACTTGCCAGTTGCAGTTTGGGGTGACGAAGACGTGATTTCCAAATAATTGCAGTTTTATCTAGGTGGAACTAATAATACCACGTAGTATCTGATCGGGACATATATTCCCATACTCGCAGATGAGCGACCCAGCATTCTCTGCCGTATTGGTATTAGAACATCTCTACATATAGATAAAGAGATGCACTGAAACACACAGGCAGACACTCTGCACCGCTGCCCTCACCTCGTCACACAGCCATCGGTCAAGCCATGTTGACAGAACTCATCAGGGTAAATGAAATGAAGCTGGAAGTAATTTAGTTACCTCTCCGGTGACCAGTCTCACTTTTCCCCCCTCTTCTAGCCACCTATCGTTATCTCTCACAGGAATCCATACATACACACCCCCACCCACACGCGCACACACACACACCTACATCACATGTGATGGTTTAGAGGCAATTTATAAGAGAGAGAAAATGAATCCCAATGCCAATTTTAGGATATTTCCAGATGTTTGTCTGGTCTCTCTCTGTCTGGGCACACCCCCTCAAATACCCACAGTCTCACTGATATCTCACTAAAGCAAGGCTGCACACAATCTTTTCAAAAGGGAGAACCATAGGCCCCCCACTGTTCTCCAACCACACCAAGAGACAGGCTTGATTTTTCATTATTTATGGCCTGAGTAAAGCCACTCTCTAAAAGTAATTAGATTTCAGAAACAAAGAAGAGGAGAACATAGCAAGAGAGAGCAAGTGGCAAAAGCAAAAGAGAGAAAGAGGGAGACACAGTTAATGTTACCAGTCTCAGTCACGGCCTGCTGGGAATTGAATTAACCCTTTCCAATTTGCTACTTATAAAGATAAAGTGGACCTGGAGCAAATGCAAAGGGTAGCTGCTGCATGAGAGGCACAAGCTCAGGTGGGTATCCCCCTTCCCATCAGAATTAATGGTGTTTACGAAACAAACATGCAGCTTTCATACAGCACACGTGAGCTGCACACAGACTACCATACATATCGTCGGATGGTGGGAGGCCACGCATTGATACCATCCATCTCTGAGCCTTATTGATACGTTTGATTTTCTGTTTGTGGTGACTCCTGGGTGTTTATCTGGGATCATTCATCAGCTCTGGGAGTTGCCATCTACAGCATGCCTGTGGTAAATGAGAACAATGGCGACCGGGTCACCTTGAGGTGTGCACGAGAAGAAATGTTTCCCAAATGCCAAACCTCATCTAACTTTAACATGTGCACCTTAACCTGCAGTTCAAAAATGTGCAGCCATCACAGGAAAACACACCCGCACAAGCTTGTGAATATACACGTGAGCAAATTTGCAGACCAATACGTTATTACCAGGTATTCTTAGCATCCGAGAGAGACAAAGTGTCTGTGGAGTCGTTTCACTCTGCACTTGGCTCGGCTCACGACCAGCCGGCTCCTCGGATAGCTCCGGTCATAATTAGCCTGGCAGACAGTGAGTGGCTACAATAATGGTGATAAAGTTGGGTAATTAAGTATTCTGCTGCTTCGACAGAGCCTGCCGTCAGGCCGCGTACACACTTGCTTGTGCACAAAAAGGTGTGTATTTGTATGAGCGACAGATATAAAGGCACATTGAGGGAGAGGGAGGGAGTGGGAGGGAAGAAGGGACGGAGGGAGAGCACACTGTTCTTTTACTGAGCGTACATGCAAATGAGGATGCAGTGCTGCGAGAACGGAAAACAAACAAGAATGCTGACCTTTTAAAACAAAACGGTACAGTGACACAACTGGGAGGGCAATACGTCTTGTATCGATGCATTCTTCAAGCGCCTGTCCACCATCATGAACACACGTACTTCCCCCACTGCTCACTCCTCATCAGCTTGAAGTATGGATCCCTCTGTCAGGCATTTGTTAAGAGGAAAAAGTGGCCCGCTGCTGTTAGAAAGTGTTGAAGAGCAGCAGAAATGAACAGTGGATGGAGATATTGAGGAAGAAGACAAATGGGAGTTGTGCACAGATGAAGGGTGAACAATTCAAAGGTACAAAAACAGCCCTTTGTGACTCAACAGCAGCTGAACAATTCCATCTTCCAGTGTGCCTGCAATCTATCACTTTATCACAGGCCCAGATGAGCATGCAGTCTATTTTCTCTATCAGCATATTTAGATTTCTTCAAGGTCACTCCTGCATCAATATTCAAAGTATTCAAGATTCCAGATCAGCACTCATTTTTGTACAAGACGAGCTTTCGGGTTTTAACAAGGCCTGATTTAGATGCTGCTGAAATTCTCTCCCTGACAGGGTCACCCGTTCCGAGGCGGACCGAAATAAAACCTATGCAAGATCCGATCAAAAGACATCAGAGGGTGTGGGAGGAGGGACTCGCTCCTATTTAGTCTCCAATCTGGTTCATTTTCTCTCCTGGTTGTTTGTGTCACTCTGCCTGACAGCCCTGAAGTACCAGTATGTCTGACGGCCACTGGGAGAATGTTCAGTGGGAGTCAATCCTGTGTCCCTGAGCAGAAACTGAAGGCTGGATCTTCTGCTTATCAGTCAAACTATTAAAATTGTCCACAATATTGGGATGACAGCACAAAAGAGTGAACACTAATTTTGCTGGCATGCAGGACACCCACAGAGACACATGGATGGATAGATGAATCAAACCCACATCCTGTGACTGGTCATATAGTTTTTTTGTGTAGAATATCCTGAAACAGACCACTGACTCATAATATGAAAAATCCTGATTTGTGCTCACAGGGGTCCAAGTGGGTTTTGTAAAAAGGGGACCTTTGTTTACATATAACTGTAAATAGTCAACTTTATTAACATCTTACATGTATATTTCTTATATAGTAGCTTCCAAATAAGACTAAGAGACTCTCTTGACTCTGCTCATCTGTGTGTGCAAGCGATCATGAGAGTCTTTTGTACAAATTAATTCATCATCTTCCAAATATAGGATTCAGCTAGTCTCTCCTGTCCTCTCACCAAATTGTGTCATTAATTTCTAATGAAGAGCTGCATATAGGTACAGCAGGTGGTTTATCGACAGTATACAGAGACACCTCTCTCTAGAGAACTAAAACAAGGAGATAATGTTGAAATCTATAGACTCAGATATGAGATGTGAGTGTTGGTTTTTACAAGTATTTTTCCTCGCTGTTCAATAAAGTGGCCATGCCACAGAAAATATCAGCCATAAAAAAACAATAAAACAGACTACTACCAAATGCATTCTCTCAGAGTGAACCTATTTTCGATTTTTATTATGTCATGAGTCATGATAAATGTGATTTTTTTGGTTATGAGGCCCTTGGGGGCTGACTCAAAGGCGACAGTCCTGGAACACATTTGCTGTTTCCAGCCATCTATACCTCACTGATGCTGGCAGCTAAAGAAACCACATTTTTCTCCTTTTCACAAACTTAATCAATTCTGTCGTATCTGACCATTACTTCGACAGATCTCTCACAATACTCACCCTGCCTCCCTTTTTAAAAGCGCGCTCCCACATCTCTGTACTTTCTCTACCAGTCAGGTTCACTACATATCAGCACAAATGGATCCACGTACATCCTATAATTCATGTTTAATATATTTAATGAATAGGATTAGTGTGAGAAGAGACAAGTCACCAGAGAGTGGATGAAAGTGTGGATGAGTGATTAAGACCATAAATAGATTATTTGTTTTACTTGAAACAGAAAGGGCAATCAGAAAGAGGGCATCCAATCAATCCATATAGTTCAACCTTGAAAGACACCCTGCTGCTGTGACATAGGCTAACGACGCAACACCATTTAAAAAGCCAGTGGCGAGGTGTGAAGCGGTCAGATAAAAGATGACGTAAGAGGAGCAGAAGGGCAGAGAGTAAGTGGAGGCAGAGCCACGGTAGAAGCATGGACGAAAGGTGGAGAGCAGAAATATAATCCCTATGATTTACGCCAGCATTCAGACAGAGCGGAGGTCTGCGACTACCCGGGGAACGTAGAGGGTCGGGGGGCATCAATCAGACACATCTCGGGGTAAGAGCAAGAGACAAAAGAAATTCAGCAGTGAGAAAGAAAAAGAGATGAGATTTGGGGAGGATGGAAATAGGAGGTGTACGGTCGGGTAAAGAAATACAGAGATGTCAGCACTCCTAAGTCAGAAAACAGCACTTTCGTTCGATCAGGACGATGTTCTGTCACGTCCACTGGGACAGAACAGAGCCTTTGCCAGCCAGTCAACCAGACCAGGATGAAGGCCATATATATATTACATACCCTGCCCACACAACACTTGCTCAAAGCCAAGGTGGCAGGGCTTTGAGTCAGCATTAAGGGAAGAAAAGGCAGAAACTTTGCTGTAGACGGTAAAAGGAAATGACCTGAGATGTCATGAGTCAGGATGTAAAACAATGCTTTTCACTCAGCAACGCAAAGAAAACCCAACCCATAACAACACTAATAGCCATGAATGTGAAAACACAATATCAGGGTGCAATGCTCAGTGAATCTCAAAGAAAAAGAGGAGAGTTAAATACTCGACAAAGTGCTGATTCAAACAGTGAAGCGTAAAGAACTGCTCGGCAGGGAGCTGCTGACTGCTCTGATCCCTGCTGAAATAGAAGCCACTAGTTGCACTATTAAGCACGGATTACACACAAAAGAAAGTCATCACAAAGACACCAATGTACCACCGGTCCTCACTGAAGTGAAGGAAGTCTGTTCGGCTGATTTGATTACTGAGCTTACAGTGGGGTGCAAAGAGAGGGAAGTGGCCGGGCCCCGAAAGCCTCACAGACAAAAAAAAAGGCAAGGCCAAACACATTTCGGACAAAAAGAAAAGGAGAGCTTATCTGCGCACTTTATTTCATGGCCCATCAGCAGATTCCATTCCAATAAGTGAAAGGGCCTCATCTCTTTCCCTCTTGTAGTGTTTCCAGAGGACTTAATAGACTCATGCTTGGAGCTGCTCTGGGGTCTCTGGGTCTATTTCTTTAGCTGAGATGGAGCAGAGAGACGATTAATCCTGTGCCCTGTGTCAGTCATGAAAGGGCCAGTGGATTACGGGGTTGATGAATATTTGTTGAGCGATCTTCAATGGAAATCAAAACCGCGCACATCTTGGAGGGTCACCTCTCTCTTACTTGTCAAGGATGAAGATCAAAATGACTCCACAGCAGCCGTTCCACCTCGGGTTGGGTATCATTTGGATACTGGTGCTAAATCAATATGATTAAAACAGTATCAATGCCTAAACGGTGCCAGGACCAATAAGTTATTGTTTTAATACAAATTAGAAGTTGAAATTTTACATATTGGCTATTAAAAGTTTAGCTTAGGCACCAAAATGAGGCACTGAAATCTGTGTTATAATTCGGTCTGGTAAATACCAGCCAAGAAGGATTTAAATGCACAGTCTTGTTTCCACCATCCTGCTGGTTTGTGTTGATGTGAGCAGAAGGGGGTTCTTCAAGCAACAGCAAATGGAACATTTATGACCCCATGTGCTGTGTTGCCACATTCTTTAGAGCCAAATTGAATCATGCTCGGTGTGACATTGTTAATATCTCAGGGGCAATACATTGAAGTACCACAAAAATGTACAGGTGATTTCTTGTCCCATGGTTCCACATGAAAAAGCCATTTCAGAGCTGAACCGTGCCACAGTATGAAATTTCAATTATAGGTATCAGAGCGACGCCGCAAAGACAATTTAGTGACTATACCTCCTCACTCAGCTGCTTTTAAACGGCGCCCGAACAATGTAATAGAACAAGCACCTTGGTGAGCAGCGGAGAGTAAATGATATAAGATATCGAACGTAACCACAGAGATTGTCAGTGAAACAGTGAGACAGCTGTGTGCCGGAAAGCCTGATTCACTAATGTGCTTCATGTAATACTGTATATCCTGATGGGAGTGTGAGCAAGGCTTTGTTGCTAACCCCACCAGGGTTTTCTCTTTCCTCTCCAACTCTCCTCTCATTACAGGTCATTACATGATTACACTGACAGGTTCCTGCTGATCAGCATCGATAGAGCTTGTTGCGTATTTATCGGAAGTTGTAAAGTGAGAGTGGTCATAAAGCAAAGTAGTATTGCATGTTCTCATTTTCATGATTGTTGGGGTTAACCCCCTTATTTATTTGTTAGCTCCTTAACAAACATCAAGTTTCCCTCACCATGAGTATTTTTGGAATTAAACATTTTATCTGTTTGTCAGTTAGCCTGAATTACAAGCTTTGTTGTTTATAATGGTTTGACCAATAGTTGGCCACTAGTTCAATAGTGTTTCATTCATCATGCCAAAATAAAGGCAAAAAAAGTCATAAACGTCACCAAGATCATAAAAATATATGAACTGCTGTGTTGATTAAATAAAACAATGTAAATGAGAACATTCAACTGTTTGAAGCTGCTTAATCGTTTTGCCAGTGTGTAAGATTTAGGTGAAAGGGATCTATTGGCAGAAATTTAACGTAGAATAATTCTCATTCTCATGATGTTTTCACTAGTTTGTTTCATCCAAATTGTATGAATTGTAGTTTTCTTTACCCCAGAAAAGGCCCTTTATATTTAAATACTTTATATTTACATCGAGCGGACCCTCTCTATGGAGGCCACCATGTTTATTACATTAGTCCAGACTGAACAAACTAAACACCTTTTGAGTTTTTATAACAAATGAAAGCTACCACAGGTTCTTTTTCATGTTTGGAAGGAGAGGGTGAGGGGTGTTCAGCTGCAACATGCAACTTCAACACTAGATATCACAAAATTCTTACACACTGAACCTTTAAGCAGCATTCTGCTTTTATAAGTTTTGCTATTCAAAAGATGATATGTTTGTGGTTTTGTTACCAAAAGGGATCTTTCAGTATAGTTTTAAATTTGAGCTCAAGAACAAGGCATTTTATGTCCATCTTATTAGCCTCTAATCTGATAGACTGTAAAAAAAATTAAATAAAAGATCAAATTTTTCAGAGAAACATAAGCAACTGGTTCATAAAAACACAGAAAACCAGAGATTGTGCAGTGTTTTGTCTGTTTGGCGACTGAATGACCACTCCGTGTTGTTAATAAAGTTTAAACAATCACAACAGACAAAGTTGAGTGACAGGTCTGGTCATGGCTGAGGGCAGGGACAGTGTAGTTGTGACATCATAAAAAAAGTCCTGACGGTCCATTTTAAGGCACAGCTTCTGCATTTCTCCTTAGATTGAGTGTTTTGATACTTTCACAGCATAGATTTAGTAACTAGTGCTGACGTATAATAAAAAAAACACATGGACATCTCTCCTTCTACAATATGGGACCTTAAAGCTGAGAGTGTTAAGCTGCTCTCCACTTCTGTTTCCCCTTACGTTTTTATCTGAAAGCTCTGGCTGCTTGTATAACAGCACTAGACCTCTGTCCTCTGCTCATTGACCTCCATCAGATTCAGGATAACAAAACTCAGATTACACATTACCATCAACAAGACAGTTAATTATTCAGCAGTTGTCAGTGTAACGTGAGACAATAAGGATGGAGGAGTCCAGGAAGGCAGTGGTGCATCTAACACCTGGCACAGATTTCAGAGCTCTGCGTTGGATAAACGATACAGAACAGGACAAACCTGAACCCAAACCTCTATTCAGAAACTGGATCGAATTACACAAAACTGATGAGAGTCAAAGATTCAGATCAATGAACTGACGACACAACGCTTACAGAGTTCGCAGATTTGAAAAGCAAATGAAATTCAAAAGACATTATGGGGGAAAATTAGATTTTTACACTGAGTGACAGTTCTAAATTAAATTCACATGCGTAGTGCTGGCTGTTCAGGATGTATGCATCTGACCTACCCTGATGAGCTATGAGGCGTTCAGGGGGAAAAAACACCTCTCAGCATCTCAGCATGGTAATTCAATGCACTTTTACTGATGGTGCCTCGCTTGGGGCTAAAATGAGAAGTGATTTGGTCTTGTTACATAGATACTGAAGAGCTCAACACTTAATGCCATCCCATCACGTTAATACAAAATATGTTTGGGATGACAGGGGTCTCTTTCTGAAGACCCCTTTGAGAAGAGATTATACAGGCAGTTTATCACCTCTACCAAGGAGCTTATGTTTTCACCCGTGTCCGTTTCTTGATGTGTGTGCTTGTTTACATATTTCCATGAAACTTGGTGTAAAGATGCAGTCAGGGCCTGAGAAGAACCCATTCAATTTTGGTGCAGATCCAGTTCAGGGAACAGACCCAGGATTTTTCTATTGTTTTGCAACATATACGCTAATTTCTCCAGATAATATTTCATGCATCTTGATAAAAACCAAAAACCACATTTAGAGAACCGATATCTATGAGTGTGTGGAATTTGGTGCAGCTTGAATCTAAAGAGACTGTTGGGCCTTAGCGTAGGTTTGCCTGCTGACTAGTGACAACGGAGACCATCTTCTCATGCCGTCAAGAAAGTTGCTTTTAAACAAAAAAGAGCGAACAATATGGGCACATACTTTTTTATTAATCATTGACTTGAAACACCAACTGCCTCCTAACATTACTTGCTGGCTAACTTTGCAGGCACTACACTGGGAGTGTAAGGATTTATGACCTAAAGCAAACATTTAGAAGATTTCAATGTATCATTGTGGTTTTTTTTTTAATCATCTAAGCCTTAAACATGAGGCAACATGGCATGTATGAGGATAGTCGTGACTTCAGTTAAATCTAACCCAAACATGAGCACCATGGATAATCCATGAAACGGTCATAAAAATGAAAACTCAGACAAATAGCAGATGGATCATAGGTGGTGAAATTATACAGTGTTATTACAGGAAATATTAATTAATTTCTCTGAAAGCAGAAATGTGGGATGCTGCAGTTCTATACTGGACAGCTTAATTTTTCGGCAAGCGAATTACTGACTCAGGACTACGCAAACTAGAAGAATTACAGACTCAGGACTACGCAAACTAGAAGAATTACTGACTCAGGACTATGCAAACTAGAAGAATTACAGACTCGGATTATCAGAAGAAACAGCACCACAGCAAACTGCATGCATCAAACCATGTAATCAAATCTAACTATACAACAAGAATTGATCGCTGTCTCATGTCTCTGTCCTGCATTTCTCGGAAAACATCCTATCAACTTGGTAGGTGAATCACTGAGGAAGTAAAATTGGTTTATAATTTGGAGCAAATTGGACATGTTAAATATCAATAAACTTTGAATAAACGAGGAATCTGCTCAGCTCTGCAGCAGAGGGGCGGGTCTCATGCATGAAAAAAATGTCATGCAAAGTTCCTCCTGAAAATACTTAACATTAGTGAAAGTTGCATTATGATCGTTAGATAACTTTTCTGATTTGTTTTAAACCTATTTCCTTGAATCGAGCAAAATATATCAATCATAAAATCCTCTGTCCTCAACAGCTTATTTGTGTTTTTATTGTGCTACGATTGACTTTAGATGATAATCACTAAGTAAAGACACAACATTTTGATTGGGGGAAGGGTTACATTCTCTTCTGGGAGGTTAAAATGAATGAATAATTGCATTTGTCAGAAGAGTTTTAAATGACCATGATATACAGAATGCTATAATATGTTGGTGGAAATAGCACAATAGAATAGCCGATATGGTAACAACCTCAGTTCAATAAATTGTGTGTCATGTTATCTTGTCTTGGGTGTTTGCGCTGGCATTTTTATCTCTGTGTTCAATCAATCAAACATCTCTAGCATTTGTCTTGTTTATTTCCAAATCTACAGAAGCATTTACTGCAGCTTGTTGGCAGTATGACTCTTGTGATCAGCTAATAGAGTTTTGGCACATTTGACTGGGCTGTAAGAGAATAGAGTCTGTACTGAGAGGACAACATATGAAGTTTGACATTACAAATAGAACAGAAACAAACGATGGAGTCCAAAAGTTTTAAATACACACAATAAAAATGAAGGACATGAAAGACAGTGTACAATATTTCACCCACATAAACATGTTTCCAGTATAGATGTCTAACTTAAACTGTGCAGATTGGTATAATGTGTGCACTATAAGCAGTGTGTTTGCAAACAGAAATAAGAATATTCTTCTAACCTGACTCCTCATAGCCTGGTCCTGGTCCTTGTGTGTGTTGAGCCCGAATAGCTGCAGCCTCAAACTTTGGGGATTTTCTCGGCTCTTCGTCCCTCTTTCATCCAGCTCCTCTGTTCCTGCTGCTGCTGCTGCTCAGTGTGGCTTTAGCCAGAGACACAACGGGAAACAGGCAGAGGCTCTCAAAGCTCCCCACCCACTCCGGCCTCCTCCAGAGCACACAGCCAATCACAAAGGCAGCCTTGTCCCAGTGATAAATAATCGATGCATAGCAGAACTACCTACAGCCACACCTGCACTGGATCAAATGTGTCCTGATGGCAAACAATACTATGAAATAATGCAGGATTTGAAACAAATATTTGCACGATTAACTTCCAGTGAGAAGATTACCATCCTGTGGCTATTGCCTCAACTCACTATTGTCTTCACAGACACACAATCAGGTGCACCTTAGGGGACCATTAACCAACAATTAATTGACCTATAACATTATTTTGCATTATAAGAGCCCTTGCATGTCTTCCTTTTATTTCTCTAGACCCACAAGACTTTGATCAATTCCAAAAACACCAAAAGTAAAACCTGTAGTTTGGGGGAAATGGGAAGAAAAAAAAATATGAATATCAATAAGGAAACACTTAGTTAATATGTGACTTTCTATTCTCCTATTCAACCAATTTGTTCCATCTCCTCTTTTCCATTAAATAAAAATGGCACAGTACACCTTAAACCTATTGCATGACTAATTAAGAAAAACAGATGCAGAAGTTGACTCTAATCGACTGTAGGTGTGAATGTGAATGATTGTCTCTGCATCCTGCGATATGTCAAGGGTGTACTGCAGCTCTTGTCCATCACAGCTGGGACTGGCTCTCACCATGATCTTCAAAGTATGAGCAGTATAGAAAATGGATGGACAGTGGAATAAAAACACAAGTTAAAAAAGCATATTCATGGATTTCTGGAGCAAATGTTTGCAATCAGTTTAAAATCACATGAATTAACATTGATTTCAAAGTTTTTACTTTCAGGCTCATGTATAAGGCATTTTCCAGACATGTAAACACTCAGCCAGTGCAGGTCAATCTAAATTCAGTGTTCCACAAGAAGTGGTCTTGCACCTCAGTTTAAAACATTTAATAAACATATTTCCCCTAACTTCATTCTGTCCTAAGTATGCCCCTCCTCCCTTTCTTCTACCATTTCTAATCCTGTGCATAACCCAGCCTGCTCTCCTCATCCCTCTCATTTGGTCAGAGGTTTCCACAAGGGAGGAAGTGGTGACATCCGTGCCATCTGCTGCCATCCCTCCATCTCACTGCCAGGTGCTGCTGTTGCCAGTCACCTCACCTGGGCCCCCATGGTCAGGGCACAAGTGTTGTGGCAGGTGGGAGATGAGGGCAAGAAAGCAGCGGCTGATGGGTCCAGTGTAGTGAGGGGCCTTAATTAGATTTATTAGCGTAGTTCTTTTGCTCCTCAGAGACTCACCTTCACAGTAGTTGTATAATTGGTGGGGGAATTGGTCAGTCTGCTTTTTATCCAGGAGCTTATTTGATGCTCCATCCAGAAATATTTGAGTATGACGTGCTCTTAGGGTGGCTGTGGCTGAGGGGGTAGAGTGGTCACCCTATAACCAAAAGGTCAGGGGTCCGATACTGAACCCCGAATTTCCCCTACAAGAAAATTAAAAAAAAAAAGAAAAAAAAAAAGCATGAGTTAGTGCCATGAAACCACTTAAAACCAAAATACTGATGTAAATACCAAACATTCATAGAAAAGAAAAGCACAGTAGATTGTTAACAGTTGAAACAACATTTAAAAGTCATCAGGCAGAGGTTGCATATTAATGCAAATTAATGCATGACATTGAAACCAAATTGAAAGCATTCATTATGTTTTACATTAAATAGATAAGTGCTTCTGAGAGGCAACAACAGTGACATGAACCAACTTAAAACCAACAAATACACGGTCAAACATTCAAGCAATAACCAATGATAATACAAACACAGATAGCAAAGTCAGATCAAACCAAAATTGAAATTTCATTAGGCAGAACTATTCAATTAATGTGGATGTCATACATCAAAAGTGCTAGTTATGTTTTGTTAAATACCTTTTAGATCAGACTGACACCAGTTATCTGAAAACAGTGCCTAGGATGTTAAGCAATAACTACCAGAAACCAGACATTTAAAACTTCTATATTCATACAACATATCAAAGGAAAACAAAACTTGTCATCATTTGGAAATATTAGTATTAGTTAAAGTAAAAGAGTAAATGATGCACAATCAATCCACATAAACAACTAAATTTGGCACAGAATATTTATTAAATTAAACAGAAGTAGGAATATATAAAGTGAAATAGATAACTAAAAGCATGTATATAAGGCATGCAGCCACATCAGCAGTTGCCCACCAGTATTTAGATTTGATCAGATTTTATACCCAAACATTTATAAATAATGACACAGAGTCCTTTATGTTCAAATGTTACACTCTTTATTCAGTTTGATATTTTCTTTTCACACAATTGAGTTAACATTCCGTCACATGGCCTTTTGAGTTGTTGCTAACACTTACCTTTTTGTTTGTCTCACTGAGGGCAGGCCAAAAGACCTGAAGCCTGGCAAAGATGGCCTTTTAAAGACAGCCCACAGGAAGTGGAAGAGGTCATCAGAGACTTATAAAGGGGGGGGACTTTGATTTAAGATTTCTCAAATCCTTTCATTTTATGGTTTCTAAGTAATTTGCTTAACACTAATATTTCTTTGTGGATGGGTTTCTTTTGATAGGGTATTTATGTTTGCACATGTTAAGTTTGTTAGTTAATTAATGTTAGCAGTTACAACAGTCTCCCTTTGTGTTTGGCAAGGACTAGTCCATGTCTTTATAAGCTCCCTGTGTCATTTGTGAGTAGGTCAGTGTGGTTGAATTAAACTTGTGTTCTCTATTGCTTAGTTGACCACTTTTATTTATTTATTTTATTTAAAGAGTTGGTGCACTTAGTTTTGTAGCTCTTTTCCAGTTTCTTATGTTGCACCTAATTTATTTACTTTTGTAACTTGCTAGCAATTATAGAACACTTTCAATATTTTACACCTTGTCCTTGTGCCTTTTTGAATGGCAGTCAAATACAATTTCTCAACGGTGCTTTGCTTGTAGAACATATAACCTTGTGATTCTTCATTAATGTTATTAACCTTGAAATTGTGATTTGTAATGGACTTGCACTTGTTCTATTAAACTGAATTTTACAGTTATGTACAATATGTGCCATTAAAAAGTTCAAATAAGCAATTTACACATGGATGTTCCATTAAGCTGAACTTTGACACACCAGCAGTTTCCTCCAGTGCAGCCAGTGGTCATATCACTGAGCTCACATGAGCTCCCACCTGAAAGTTCTGCCCTGCCAATTTCTCTTTTTTTTGTTAAAAGATAAACATTGTCATCTTTCTCCACACGCTGGTTAGAGCTGATGAGAACATTTGGTAGATGGAAACTGAATATTTTGTTGGGGAGACGTCGACTCCTCTCTTTTTCATTTCATTTAAAATACTTTGGTGGGTAAATTGGCAGTTGGTACATTGAAGAAGCTGTATCCTATGCTGATCAAGTTAGACCATCATGCATTGCGACCTGTATCAAGTCAAATGTTTGGACACAATCGAATTAAGTATTTTTTCTTTCACATTAACTTATCTTACCTCCAATATATTTTCTCTTGGAACAAAATGACAGCAACAAAAAAGTTTCACTTCTATGTATTTTAAAGTGTGTGTTTGTTTTCTCATACCCTGCTACTTGGCTGTGTAGGTGTGTATAAGTAAATTACAGATGTGAAGAGTCACTCTCGTGTGTGTGTGTGTGTGTGTGTGTGTGTGTGTGTGTGTGTGTGTGTGTGAGAGAGAGAAGGAGGCTTTTTGAATGGACATGCACATATCAAGCATGTTGACTCTCTGCATGTTAACCTGAATTTATTTGTATAAATCTGTCTGTGTGTAATCCTCTTGTATGCGAGTGAAAAACAATTATTTGTGATTTTCTGATTTTGTGATTGGTCTTTGTTTCTGGTTCTGTTTGTGTGTGTGGGGGAGCAGGTGGCCATGACCAATCAATAATCCTGATAATGAGGGGTGGCGGTCATCACGGCAGCCCCTCGGGCGTGCAACGCCTCCTCTTCCGTAAATAGCATCATTGTCTTCTCTTCTCTGAGTGAACACACCTCATTAACCTTTTGAGCCAACATGACACCGACCAGACTCTGGTATTTGCTTTCATGATTAACCAAACAAACCTTTTTTTCCCAATTTTTGGAGAACTGTAATTTTTCAAATGGTTTAAAAAACTTAATCTGTCTAGATCTATGAGAGTTTCAGCAGCAGTTTAGTAGTTTGTCTTAAACCTGAAGGTTTAGTTTCCTCAATTTTGTATTTGTCAAAAAAGATACAGATACAGTAAAGCATGAACCATATAATGATACAATTTGTCTGCAAATTACTGTAAGAGCAACATAATTATCTCCACTACGGAGGTTATGTTTTCATCTGCGATTAGCAGGATTGTGCAAAAACAACTTTTCCATGAACCTTTGTGGATGTCCAGACTAGTGAATTTAAATGTGTTTGGACTCTCAAACCTTGTCTGAAGTCATATTTATTGTCACTCCCATAATATACACTCAATACACGAAAACACCATACTCCACAGATCAGTCACACATTTATCAATTCCAAAGATGGTAATTGGGAGAATCCACTCCAACCAGGTGCTGTTTACATCATATTCTACAAATTCAACAAATTTCAGTTCTACAAATATTCTTCAATAATACAAGAATTCTGCTGGTCCCTCTTCTCTAGTTATTGGTTTATATCTAGTGTTAAAACTTAGAAAGACCTTCCGTCATTCATAAAGTAGTTGTAGTTATGGAATTTTCCTTTCTGTGAATAAACTCTGCAGCTGAGATGATAATCTGTGCTGGTGCTGGAGGTGGAGGGGGGTGTTTTTGCCAAGAGTGACAATTTTCTCCCCCTCCCCGAAGCCTGATGCTGTCCCTCATGGCAATAATCCCTCGCAGGTTGGACGCCAAGTATTATCACAATTATATGGTGGAAAAACCCAGTGGCGGCTGCTGCTGTGTTCAAAGTGAAAGTAGGAAAGTGAGCAGGGTGTGTGAAAGTCATTGTAACCTCTGGGAATCAGAGCTGTGTTGTAGCCGGTGACCTTCAGAGGCACGAGCATGTCAGTTCCCCTGTGGTGTGTGTGTGTAATTTAGTGTAATTTGGCTGATGAAGAAGTACAGAGGAGCCTTGCTTAACTGAGTTTAGTTGGTATATGCTGTGGGTCTATACTTTGGCAGTCGTGGGCGGTACTAAAGTGCTGTTGAGCAAGATGCTCGAGCTGCTTCACACTCATCCATCACAAGCTGTTTAATAAGTCAACTAAATGCACAAATATAAATGAAATTCAGCAAAGATGCTTCTCTGGCTGAAACACGGACCTGCATCAGCACATTTCTCTCTGCATGCATGGACACATCTTCTAAACAAGCGAAGGATTAGATGTATAATTACATGTGGCTGTCAACGCAGAATTTCAGTTTAAACTGAGAACGATCAGCATTTGGAAAAAGGCTTTGTGATTGTGTGTGTGTATACATGTGTGTCTGTGTGTGTCCTCTGCTGTCGGGGCTGCAGTGAGCAGGTTGTGTTTCCCTGATGGTTTCATTTGCTGCAGGGGAGGTGATCAGTGAAAAGGTTCAATTTCATCTCAGTTGTTGTTTTGGAGCAACATTCATCATAGAGTTTCACAACTTCACCCTGGATTGTTCTAGTGCCACCACTGTGCAAGCTGACACACACACAGACCGACACACAGACACACACACACACACACACACACACACACACACACACACACACACCACCTTCTCCGATCAATCTGCAAACAGCTTCTCTTCTGAGAGCCACACTTCATGGTTCATTTGATGTTTGATATTTTATTTTTGTGAAAATAATTTATAGTGTCTGTTCAAGATACTCCAAGGTCTTAGTACCCTGTGTTTGTAGGTGTGCTTCTTTGAGTGGTCATCAAGACTAGAAAAGAGCTATACAAATACAGACCATTCACCTTTTGTGTGTGTAGTCCACTGCATGGCAACAGTGTGGCTCAAACTAACAAGTTACTCAAATGAAAACACAACAAATTGATTTATACTGTTTAGAGCCCAACAATTCAAGTATTGGCATATTAGATATTTTCTTTTTAATTTAAATTTAAAATAATGCTTATCTTTAATGTATATCTATAAGGGTTTGATATATGTGTATATATCTATATATAGATCTATATATAGATATATACACCAGCTGATATATTCGATGAGGCAGATCCTCAAGGCAGTCCATCACTCTCCATTTACTCATTAAGGAATGATGGGAAAAAGAGTTTCTAATGAGACATTAGCTCAACCTCTGACCTTGGTAAGAGCATTCTGGAGATTTGTTTTCTGTCCTGAGGCAGAATGTGACAGTTAAATGCATGGTCATAGTTATTATTCATAAGACTTTTAATTATGCATAGCCGCTGAACAGTAGTAAACAATCCCTGTGAAAACAAGTCCTCGGTGAAAGTCCTTTTATTTATTACCTCAAAATTTTAAGCAAAAAATGACTGATGACTGTTTGATATCAGCTTTGGAAATGAAGTGAGAAGCACTAAAGGTGTGATCATGCTGGAAAAGTAAAAGAGTGATGGGACAAGTTTTTCAGGAGAAGCCAGCCAAAATAGTTCTCCTCCCAATGAAGTCATTTTTATTCCTGGAGAACAAGAGTGAGAGAGAGCAAGAGAAAGAGAGAGAGAAGGAAAGGGAGAGAGGGGGGGAGGGAGAGAGAGAGGGGGGAGGGAGAGTGAGAGTGGGAGAGAGAGGGAGAGAGTTTGAATTAAATTAAAACCAGAGGACACTTGTTTCAGATAACAGACTCTGATGGAGTTGACTGATGATGCTCCGTTTCAAATTTTCTCCACACGATTAGCATCGCTGGAGGATTAATTCTGGCTGCATTTAAAGTGATTGATCATTTCTATAAATTAATGAAACAAATAATAAATATATTAATAATGAATGAAGGATAAGCCTTGCCAGAGGATCAACCAGCCATGTCGCTGCCATGCATCACATTCAAATTTGCTATTTGCATTTCTTTATGAGTACACTCGTGACTCCACACTGGGGTCGAAGTGGACGCTTTAACCCATCACTATTAGGTCAGGGATCAATCTCCTCTGACCCACAGAGAGTTAAACATATCAGGTTTTGATCAGTTGATTGACTGACACATTGAGTTATTGAGATCTCCTGCTGATCAGTCGATGGATCCCCACAGGCACCGGAGAGGAGGACCAGATTCTCCAGCCACAGAGAGAGCAGCTCGACACTAAATTACATTATCACTGTCAGCACTCCTCTGTGTCTGGACAACATGAAACCCGTCCACTCATCACACTGACATCACATCTGCACCGTGAAAAAGCAATTAATGCACTGGGTCTGTGGTGACGGCTAACTGATGAAAATGGAAATTTCCATGTAATTATGACTATTTTCACAAGTGATGTAATGGTGGGTGGAGAGCATGAATAATGA